GTAACCGTGGGTACAGACGAGAAACATGCATACATTGAATCAAATGTACATGAGTGCACAGGTCTTATGGCATTCACCCTGACTTTACTTCACATTATAAGGTCTGGTGAAGAAGACTGTATGAATTGAACCCTGGGATAGGAAGAGGGTGCCTTGATGAGAATTGACAGCTAACACTTTCCTCAATTATCTCATTTTCCTGAATACCTTCAAAACATCCCCAAAGAAATCAATGGAAAAACATGTTGGCATTTACAGTATCTAACAATGAATCAAGGTAGAAGTTCAGTGGTGTTTACCCCCCGCCCTCCCCCATCCCCCCCCCCCCCAAAAAAATATGTCTGTCTATTATTTAAGTCTGTAAATATAGGTATTTTCATCTTCTAGTGTTGTACATCTCTTCACCTTGATCTATTAAGATTTAGGCGTAGACATTTAGAATGAAAAATCAAAGATATATGTATTTCAATAGGGAGAGATAGAGGGATTGGTTAAAATAGTGCATAAAGCTATATTCATAGTATTCAAGTAGAAAGGATGTCATTGGAACTTTGAAAATAATGGAAATTCAGGATAAAGGAAGAGAATGTGAGAGTGTATGTTTGTGTATGTGTGTGTGTGTGCGTGTGTGTGTGTGTGTGAGAGAGAGAGAGAGAGAGAGAGAGAGAGAGATAATGGGTAGTAATTGTAATTGGGGGGAGGGGGTTAATCAAAGCATTAAAATGAGAGAGAGGGGAATAGGAATAGCAAGTAAGTCCCAGGTCATGATTACCACTCATTAGATTGGACAGGTGGCCCTCATGAGACGATGAACTTTATAATTGCACCAAAGACCTTTTTAAAACATTGACTTGGCAACAAACCAAGCAATGTTATTGTTACTTCCCATCGTAGGCCTACTTGTCCTATTTCAAATCATCCGTGACAGTAGCAGCTGATCAATGCTCAAGTAAATTATCAGGGAATATAACTATCAACAAACTATTAGTCAGGGAAAAGGTTGTATACAAAGGTATCTCATTTGCTAATTGTTTTAAATTTGTTTTAAAATCTTGTTAGGAATGTCCCACATTATCACATATAGCATAACATTGTTCAAAGAATGTTTATTGAGATAGTCTTTGTTTAGCATCAGCTAATGCATGTGTATCTTTTACTTCAACTTGAAGGACAAATGAGACATTGAGTTATTATCTCCTATATCAAAAAGTGAAGTTTGTCACTTGTTTACAAATGTCAGATGAATGTATATTTATATTCATACTGAAAGCTGGCTTTTGTTTACTTTAGAAATGTAGTTTATAGAGTTTTAATTTACATGTTCTTCTCCTTCTGTTTTGAAAGATTACTACAATGGTAATCACAATAAAATCCATCTAAATTTACAGTAAAGATATTTGAACCTGACCCCTCACACCCTTCTCTTAATCCTATATCATATAATAGTATTCACAATGCAAGGAAGATATGGTGTTTGACACCCCCCCCCCCCTCTCCTCTTTACCCCATATATCGTGTAATAAACAAACAGGCCTGTGGAATGAAATGTCAAGGTTTTATAGCTATTCTGCGTAGATCAGAAGCATCATCTGTTGTTTGACACCATTTTAAAATCATCTTCTCTCTGTGCCAAAACAAATTCTGCTTCCACCTGCTTTACTGAGAATGTTAGAAGTAGAAATATAGTGATATATAGCAGTTGCTGATGAATCTTGGCATACTGGAGAAGATAACAAGTTAAATATCATAAAAACAAACAATGCCAAAGTATCTGAAATAGATTCTGACCTCATATCTTTCTTTAGAGAACACCTGTGTGAGATAATGCATAGAAACACTGAGTGACTAACATCTTTATTTCAGGAAAAGTAACAAAATGTTTGAAGTGTCCTAAATTGCATATTGATTTTGGCTCGTTTGCAGGGTAGTCAATGTTATCAAAATGCATTAAAGTTACATTGAGTATTGACACTTACATTCCTAAAGTATTCCTGAATACTGTATCTATAGTTACAATCGGCAGTGGCATGTTTACTTGATGTTGCCGGCATGGAAAAAATAAATTGCATACAATTGTCTTGAGAAAGCGTGTTAAATGCTTTTGCACCTTATGTTATTCCTAGCATACCCAAGTTCTTCCACTCAAAATAGATATCTGTAAAGGAAGATAAAGATAGGGGGTGGGTTGCCAGGAGCATCTTGGCATGTCACCAACGTCATCATCACGAGCCCTCTTCATATTTACGACCTTTACGTAAAGTAGCAGTAACAGTACGTTGCAGCTATTTACGGATATGTTACCGATAGTGGCAGATATGGAAAGGAACCACCAAATAATGTGGTACTTTGCTTTCAGCTATATATTTTCCTTTTCAGGACTGGGTAAAAAATATTAAAGATATCTGAAAGTATCTGAAAATGGTCAACAAATGCGCATTGCACGCCGGGCACCCACAGCTCAAGACGGTACTTGTGGATGCGTAAATGAACGGGATAATACAGTGTACCGCAATATTACGATATTATCCCCCTGATATGAACAGTGGGCAGAAAAAATCAGTAACCTCTGCGCATCTGCGATATTGGGGTATTATCTCGTAGATGTGAAGAGGACTATTGTGTTGAGATGTTTACTCTGATAGGACTGACAGTAGCCTGACCCATATAGCTTCTTATTTCATCAGTCATACTGGGTGCCCATCAACAGTGCATATTATTCTCAGCTTGAAATGGTTTGAAACAGTTTGAAACATTCAATAGAACATACCAGGTGGTGGATTTACAGCCATCTTTTATTTCAGTCTCTAAATAGCTAGTTATAAGCAACTGCAATGTTTTTCAATCTTCTGTAGAATATCAAACAATGAAGAGTTTAAAAGGCTGTCAAAATATTGGTCGAAATAAAATCATATAGATTGACTATATAAAGAAAGCACAAAGAATAATAATTTCAGGAAAAGAATGCTTTACACAGAAAAAAAACACCTTTTATTATATTTATTATGTCTCTATTAAGTCATTTGCACTAGATGTTTGATGTTGGATGTGAAATAAGATTATGGGAAGATTATGGATAGAAGATTATAGATAGCTGTTGGTTGCACATATTACTAAACCTTTCCCTGCTCTATTGTTATTTTTTTACATTTCTTTTTTGGTGTTTTTAAATATTTTATTCAAGATCTGGAGAGCAACAGTGTAGATTGTGTAGAATGAAACTAATTTTCAGTATTGAATATAAAAGCTGGTATACCTCTCACCACTATTTATAGGAAAACTAATTTGAGAATTCTATTTTTTGCTTACATCTGATTGTAAGTGTCAGTTGTCAAATACAAACTGGGGTAGTTACTTTGCCAAGACAACAGAAACCTCCGTTCAGACTACCTGAATTCATTGTATGGTTACGAGAAAAGTGTAAGGCTATACTATAAGCAGGCATGTAGCCAGAGTTTGATGTTGGGGGGGGGGGGGCACATGTAATCGATCGAGGTAAAAAAAGGGGTCTAAAAAAGTTCAATCGATCTCAGAAATTTTTGGGGGGCATGTGCCCCCGTGCCCCCCCCCCCACCCCCCGTGGCTACGCACCTGACTATAAGTAATTGATTTGTTTATATTCTGAACGTTGTATAATGAAACAATGTAAACAAAACATCTATAGCAAAATTTATATGATTTTTAAACAATGTTTCTTTACAAGTATGAGTTTGAATTTCATTTAATGCAGTTTAGTCTGAACAGTCTGAAAGAGGGAAATGGTAAAAAGCAGGATCTCTGTCACTTAGAATTAACTGAATGATCCCCATTAGACATTTTATGCGGAAGCTGTAGGAACAAGTGAAGATGAGAAAACGGCTTACGATGGTGATTTAATGATGACATTAAGAGATTTATAAGGATCTAAAGTATCAGAACAATGTGAAAGTAAACTTGCCTGTAGTATACTTTGACATCCTTTCAGTGTCCTTTGTATAACCTTAGCACTGAATATGAAACACCATTTGATTCATGAAGCTCCAATATATTAGATTTCACATCTAACCTGTATGTCTAACTTAATTTGCTTCTAAAATTGATAGGATTACGAAACACTTTTATATTTCTTTCAAAGATGATTTATCCTGGGTTCTTTTGAATTTATGTTAGCTCTGTTGGAGAAACTATTTCTTCCAATGAAGCAATAGTGATGGAGAGAGTGGGAAAGTGCCTGTTATTAAGCTGTCATTTTCAATCATACATGGAAGATGTAAGTTCATTGTTACATTATAGGTCACATGACACAGTGGATGTTAACATTTCTCTTTGAACTTAGTTACATACGGTACGTACTTGTAAACAAATAGTAGAAGAGGTTTTAGAAAACAAGTATTTACGTCACCTCTGTGTAAACTTCATGACTAAGAACCAGTCTAATTTCATAATTTCCATGGGAAATTGACTTTTTATGCAATTCATCTGTTTGAGAGTGAATTTGAGAGTCTCTGACTCTGTGGCTCAAAGCACCTGCTTTCATTCACTCTCTGGCTTTGAACCAGGTCTCTGTTTTAAATGGGATTCTTCTAACTTGCAAGATGCTAGATGTACATGTATTAGAACCACTGATAATAGCATCTTGTATATTGATCTGAAAGGTCTCAAATGAAAAGGTGCTAAACCCTTGTAAAATCACAAAGTATTCTCAAAAATTAGGCTCACCCATCAAACTCACTTGTTGACCCAACAGTTTGGTCAAATGATGTCACTTTGATTGCCATTATGTCTTGATATTTGGAAATTAAATGTACTTCCTCATGAATTACAGGGCTTTTGTTTTGAATATAATTGATTTGCTTTGTTATTTGTTTTCAGACCCTACTACCTTGTTTATCACATCTCTGCCTCAGCCTTTCAAGGCAACTTAAAACTCTATGATTTCTCAAGAAATTTGGTTTTATATACTTGTGCGTTTTAAATTCAAACTGTTATTCCTTCTTTCATGATTTCTTTCTTTGTCCAGATCCTGCTACCTCATTGAGCACATCTCTGCCTCAGCCCTACGATGTGGCTCCAGACTGTATGCAGGTAGAGGTACTATCAAATCACCAAACTTTCCAGGGAAGTACCCTAGTGACATCAGCTGTGAGTGGACGCTCATCTCCGAGGATAGGGGTCATGTGACCTTAACGTTTGAAGCGTTAGAGCTGGAAGAAAGCCCAGGATGCTAGTAAGTTATCAAAAATACAGTTTTGGTACATGAATATACAATTTTACATTTTGTATACAAAATCATTTTTTCTTGTTTGTTTTGTATGCTTATAGATACAAACCCTGATAGGCTAAGGTAGATTGAAATGTAGGTACATTGAAACCTGTCTATATAAACCACCCATCAGAGACAAGAAAAGTGATCTTTACAGGCAGATGGTCTTTGTAGACAGGTGTCTGTAGTACATGTTTCAATGAGATACCATTTTCAAGGGAAACAAAAAATGTGGTCTTTGTAAACAGGTGGTCACTTTATAAGCAGGTTTGACTGTTTTATCATATCTGCATGCATGTGGATATATAGGTTGTAATAGAGAGAATATTTAACTTCATATTTTAGTAGAGACATTGGTTTTATGAGGAAAATATATTATAATCTGATATGCTTTAGGCTTATACAAAAAAAAATGTGTATAAGTTTGTTGAGTCAAAATAACATTCAATCTGTTAAAGTTAAAATTTATTTGTTAAATAAGTTTAATCAAAGGTGGAAGAAAACAAAAAGCAAGAAAATTGATCAATAAAAACTAAGCAATTCAGAGCATAACATATACTTCCATACAAATTAATTTAAATTGTAAAGCTTGGCAAGTTTTGAGAAGGAAGACTTCCATCTGTGTTTTGAAGCACCTTCCTACATGTATATTAAAAACGAAATTGAGGAACTTTTGTGGGTGTATTCCAGAGAACACTTGTTGGTCTTATTTTATATTTTCTGGATGTTTTTATATTTAGAAGTTTATGAATTTCATAGTATAAACATGTTGAGAGATGGCAAATGACAGGAAGTGATGTAGATGAGATAGCAACTTGCCTGTTGATAAAAGATTGAGGAAAGTTGTTGTGGTATAAGGAAGAGGAAGGAAGGTGATGAGGGAATATGAGATGGGATGGAGATGATAGTCGTGATGAATGATAAATCTAATGATGGGAGAAGAGAACTGATGAGGGGAGATTCAAGAATTGACACCAAGATGAGGTTAGCTTTGCTAACGTTGAGAAAAAGAAAAGAAACTTGCAAGGGAGTTGTGTTTCAGGACAGCTAGGAGCAGCTAGGTCTTAGGTATCATGCTAGGATTAGGGGCTGGGATGAATCGATGGCCTTTGTACTGTTTGATATTTTGAGGTCAAGAAATGGCGATCGAGAAACTGAACATATATGAAGATACTAGAGGTTCATTAGATGATGCAACAGATAATCTAGCAATACTTGCTTTCTTCAAATATAGGGTTAGGGTTGCAATTGGGATTTATCCTCTGTTAGAGTTAGTATTAAAGCATTAGGATACTTAGGCTCAGAGTAAGTGTTACGTATTCTGTATGTATTGTTTAACGTCCAGGGGTTAAAATGAGAAATTTGATTTTAATTATTAGAAATTGACCTGGAGCAATTTCAAATGAAACCTGCACCAGTAGTGTTTATTATGATTGATGGGGGCAAGAATGATATAAGGGTAGTGTTGGGCTCCACTAATGAATTCAAGGGATGCATGGAGATACGGAGACTTGTTTAGATGAGCTTGTCTGAGAGGGGCAGTGTTTATAGGTGTAGAACAAAAATGGTGAAGTTATAAATAGGGACTGGTTTGTGTAAGACAAACTTTTCTGAAGGAGAAGTGTGCAGTCTTGGAAATAGTTGGTGCTAATGAGGATGAAGATAAACCTGAAACATTTCAAGCACTTTAAGAGCTATCAAGCAGATCAGTTATTGACGTCAGTCTGACGATAAATCCACCATCGATTGATTGCTATAAGCACTCTCAGTATGCTGCTAATTGGATCCAGCCATACTTAAATTACATTATGTTTATACCACCATCAACATGATTAGTAAACAGACTCAGAACAAGTCTTCAAGATGACGCAAGTAAGACAAGTAAGACGTGCCGTCATAACAACGATGAGATCATAATTAAAGGAAAAGTTGAGGTACTAAAAATGATCATGTAACAGAAGGACATGCATGTTGATGCAATGCACCTGAAACAGTGTTGGAAATTCATGAATTTCAAATTGAAATGTCAAATTTAACTGTGGATTGTTCTGAAAAGAAATATTTATAGGCTAGATTGTTTTGTTTTCACATTGATTATCAAAAATAGAATGATTCTGCTGTTAAATGTAGTATGATGAATCAGTGTTTTATTTGTTGTGTTTATTCTGCAAATGAATTATCTTTTTCAGAATCATTTTCCAAGAATCTTAGTAACATTATTTGTTTGAATTTATCACATGAAGCTGTAATCTGCCAATTACATGTACACTGTCATTATCTATGAGAAAAGACAAACAAGAACTACGGAGTGCTCTTTTTTCTTGTATGAGTAAGCTATCGTATTGAGCCACCCTAATGGAAAGCAGTTCAGTAATGTGATTATATGTATGAAATAGTTTTAAAAGCTTTTTGATTTAATATTCAGTCTAGACCGGCAGTGTGCATTTAATACTTGTTTGCTTCACTGGTACATTTGTCCATCTTGTTCATTTTGATGGTGAGCTATCACTTTCTGCTCTAGCTCTCAATTGCTCATGGTCTCAATTGGAATAGAGCTGAAGCTTATTCGAATCAAGGAGAATATAAAAGGAGGGGGAAAGAGCATGGGGTATCATTCTTGCAATGGTCCATTTCATGAGAGAAAAACATTTTCATTATCACCTTCCCTTGTCTCCATGGTTGTCCCATGGACCTATGACCTCAGTATCATCGTCATCTGAGCTGCAAGGAGTTTTGTAATGGTTCACAATAGCCTTGAGTGATTTCTCTTCTCACTCCATCCTCATTAACATCAACATCGTCATCAAAAGCTCGTCAGTGAACCATCTGGTTCCGATGATCAACCCCAGCACATGACTTGTATTGCTCTTTATCTTGCTTTATTCTTTTCCTGGGTTGTTGTTGGCTACTGTTTCTTTGGAGCCCTGGAAACATAATGGTTGTCAGATGGGTGCCGACAGTGTTTTTGTTCTCCCCTTTCTTTTCTTGCCTCTCTTCCCCTCCCTCCTCTTCCACGCCTCCTTTTCTTTCTTTTACTCATCAGCCTCTTTTTATGCCTCCGCCACCGAAGGTGGTGCCGGAGGCATCATGTTTTCGGGTTGTCCGTCCGTACGTCCGTACGTCCGTACGTCCGTCCGTACGTCCGTCCGTACGTCCGTCCGTACGTCCGTACGTCCGTCCCGTTTGACCGTTATCACAATATCTCAAGAACCATTTAAGATTTAAACTTAAGACTCGGGAATAGTATTTATCACCATAGGAAGACGATCTGATTAGATTTTGGAGTACGTAGGTCAAAGGTCACAGGTCACAGAGGTCAACTTATGAAATTCCTTGTATTGAGTTTGTTAGCGCGATATCTCAAGAACCATTTGAGATTTAAACTTCAAACTTAAGGATAGTATGTATCACCATAGGAAGACGATCTGATTAGATTTTGGAGCACGTATGTCAAAGGTCAAGGGTCACAGAGGTAAACTTATGAAATTCCATACATTGAGATTGTTATCATAATATCTCAAGAACCACGGGAGATTTAAACTTCAAACTTAGTGATAGTGTGTATCACTATAGGAAAACAATCTGATTACATTTTGGAGCACGTAGGTCAAAGGTCAAGGGTCATAGAGGTCAACTTATGAAATTCCATACATTGAGATTGTTATCATAATATCTCAAGAACCACTGGAGATGTAAAAACTTCAAACTTAAGGATAGTATGTATCACCATAGGAAAACAATCTGATTACATTTTGGAGCACGTAGGTCAAAGGTCAAGGGTCACAGAGGTCAACTTATGAAATTCCATACATTGAGATTGTTATCATAATATCTCAAGAACCACTGGAGATTTAAACTTCAAACTTAATGATAGTGTGTATCACCATAGGAAGACAATCTGATTAGATTTTGGAGCACGTAGGTCAAAGGTCAAGGGTCACAGAGGTCAACTTATGAAATTCCATACATTGAGATCGTTATCGCGATATCTCAAGAACCACTGGAGAATTTTCACTTCAAACTTAATGATAGTATGTATCACCATATCATAATATCTCAAGAGCCACTGGAGATTTAAACTTCAAACTTAATGATAGTGTGTATCACCATAGGAAGACAATCTGATTAGATTTTGGAGCACGTAGGTCAAAGGTCAAGGGTCACAGAGGTCAACTTATGAAATTCCATACATTGAGATTGTTATCATGATATCTCAAGAACCACTGGAGATTTAAACTCCAAACTTGTTTAAATTGCTCTATGGCGGAGGCATCATTTTCGACTGCGCGCAGTCAAAATTCCATCTAGTTTTCTTCTTCTCTACCTTTCCCTCCTTCTCTTGTCCCTGTCTTTCTCTCTCCTCCCCCTATCTCTCTCCCTCTCTCTCTCTTTCTACCTCTCTGAATCTGTCTCGTGCCTCATCCTCTTTTTGTCCTTTTCTTTTCTTGGTCTCCCTTTATCTCTCTCTCTCTCTCTCTCTCTCTCTCTCTCTCGGTCTGTCTGTCTATATATCTGTCTCTCTTTATCTGTTTTGTTTTCGGTATATTATCCCCCAAACCTTCTCTCTCTCTCTCTCTCTCTCTCTCTCTCTCTATCTTTATATATCTATCTCTCTCTCTCTCCCTCTCTCTCTCTCTCTCTCTCTATCTATATCTTCTCTCTCTGTCTCTGTCTCTTTTGATCCATCTTGTTAACAGTATTGTATTTCCCAATCTTTCTCTTTCTCTCTCTTCTCTCAGAGCCTGAATGTCTAAAAGATGAGATCACTGGCTTTCTTGTAGGAAATTGATGATGTCCTATTAGTTCAGTATGAGTAAAAGCGACATTGGATAAATAGATTGAAAAGTAAATTTGAGGTCAAATAATGATGCCATAGTCATTGTCAGATGTATGCCAAATTAATAAAGTCATGTACTTGCCATACGATGATGATGGTCAGTACTTTCTCAATCTGAGAGTGATATTGAATTTCACAGAAGCTGCATGAGCTGGCAACATATTTTTATAATGTACCTGAAAAATGTGGACTAGTTTAGACAACTGCTGATAGTTGACTGAACCTTATTAATTCAGCAGAGTATGGTGGATGTATGATATGAGTGTGAGCATTGATTGGTGACATACTCTATGACTTCTTCACACTGTTATCTTAATTCAGAAGTTCAAATTCTATTCAATTAAAACCATGCTGCTGTGTTATAAAGACATCCAATAAGAGCATATTTGACATCTTTATGCTATTTCTCTGTGCTCTATCGTATTGTAATCCTCAACATCACGTTGGGATATCTGACCTGTAATCAGTTAAAGATGTCTCTGCCTCCTCGGATGCCATGTCTAGAGAAAGCTCTGAAATTGATAAATTCCTTTCTCTTGATCTGTGAAAAGGGAAAGGTGCCAAGATGTGAAGAGATAGGAAGGAAGGAACCATTACATAGCCTTGGCATTCAATTGATGCTTGGTGGCATAGCCCTTTCTCTGACTCTACTTCTTGGAAGGGGTTGGTAACATATAACATGTTGAATTCTGGCCCTTAGATGGTAGAGCATAACAACAAAGAACAAATGAACTCCACCTGGAGATCATCTTTATTGCAAGTTGCTAGATAAAGAAGATTGAATTAAAAGAAATAAATGAAAATTGAAAAATACAACTACAAAGTACAATTAAATTCAAAGTGAAAGTTGACAGCAAAATATGAATTTTCACTGAAACATTTTTTTCTTCAGGATTAGACTGCTAGACTCAGAATGCTAGATTTTCATACATCACTCACAACAAATTGTAATATGTATTGAAGGCCACTTAGACCCCTTGAACTGTCAAAGATATGTTAAAGTAGAACTTTGAGAAAAGACAGGATATGATTGATAAAGACCTTACCCGGTATGTTTGAATAGGCCTGTTTACTAATGATATGCGAGTGACGTCATAATCCCTCGCACCCTAGCGATTGTTACTACGTAGGGCAAGCTTTGCGTGGTGCGGCACGGTCGCCACATTGTTTTTCCATGCCCGCTACGCTATACACATACAAAGCCATTGCTAGCGACCGCGACGTTTTGGGGCTGCAACAATGATTTACTATTATAATTTCTTCACACATTCCATGCTCGGATTTCACGCTAAAAAAATTATAATTATGACATCAACTTACCTTGATCTGTAAAAGCATATTCAACAGGATCCTGATGAGGGTCTAATTCTTGGTCGTTGCATTCGACGTCGTTTTGTTTTTGTTTTTTGCATGGCGGTAAACTGGCCGAACGGTCCCGGGGTGGCGGGCGGACGACCTTAGTCGCAATCCTTCTCTCCAAGTCGCTTGCAGCAGCGGGTACAGGATGTGGATGATCGTTTGTTGGACCCTTTTCACCTACAAAATGTTTTGAACAGACGTAGGTATTCCTTGAAATCCTGTCGATTCCAAAGTCCTTTCTTCCACAATTCTTAATCCATATTTTACACTTCTCCAGGTTCGTCTTTGGTTTGGGGAACGGGATGAAAAACACACCATTCATAATGGGATCTGTCTGCGTACCGTGAATCGCTGTTACACGTGCCGTAACAGCAATGCTTACCTCCCATTTTTGCGATATTTCGTCAAATTTCGGAAAATAAAATCGAAGATTTGTCATGTACAACTGAGAAAAACTATATTTATTTTAATTATATACCCTAAGGTTGGAAAACAAACAGTTTTAAACGAAGTTTATTAGGACGATGATCAGCCTTTTTTTCCTCGCATTCCCCACATCGCCGTATACAAAGTGTGTGTAGCAGGGCCGTAGCAGACACTGCGCTCGGTTTGTTTGCCAGAGCTTACAACCGTGTGCAAATTTAAAGGTCCGTGAATACATTAGTAAACAGGCCTATTGATGTGACAGTATCGGCTGTCTCATCAAATTTCTCTTTTTGTTCAGTTCCTCATGAATGTTCTTTGAAGTACAAGACATTTTTACATAATGAACATATCCTTTAGAACCTTCTTTTGTAATCAATAATGCTCATATAGACTAACTGGGGTTGTTGATTTTGTCATTTGTGCTACAGAAAATCAATCTTTAAAACAAAACAAAAACAGCAAAAAATCTCCTTAAAGTAGATATTCATTGATTTTAAATCTAGCTTTATTTTCATTATTGCAAAGTTGAAACTTTGATTCGACAAGGTTATCAAAATTCAATGCTTGGAAACATTCGAAGTAATGATTATTATAAATTACAAAACGCTTAAATACAGCCCCGGCATAGCACCTGAATAGCTCTCCGAACGCTGCTGAGATGTGTGAGATCACAGCAGGGACATGATTTGCACAAGCAGACGATGTACCATGACATCTCACACATTTTCAGTGCCTGTATTTTCATCTTCTCTTGAGTTCTTTCTCTTACTTCACTACCGCCAGGCTAAATGTATAATCTATTGCCTCACTCTAAACCCCGCGCATGGTTTTATTTTGATGACAAATGCAGCGATACAAAAATAAAGGAATCTGTCGCTTGTAAACAAAATAAGACGCCATTGTATATTCAGCTGCAGACACCGCGGTATGTTCGGCGTTTTAAGAGGGAACAAATGCCGTCCTTAATATCAATCCAGGGGCTTTTCAATTTGAAAGGCTGGTTTCTTTGATTGTTAATTAACCCCTATCCTGTGTATTTACAAGCATAAGATTTTAGTTATCAGAATCGGGTCATGTCCCCTTTTGATCGGTTTGACGTGCCAGTACATTTATATACACTAAACTCATTATAATTTGACAAATAATAGCTTTGCAATTATGTTCATTCTTTATGGGATGTCGTCTGCTTGGGCAGTATTGGTCCCTGATGTGACGTCATTAAAACATCGTTATTTTTCTGGCAAATCTCTCGTATATCCCAGCTGCTATGGAGGTGGTTGTATTTTTATTTTTATAAATCACCCGATATGTAGCTGACCTCAAACTTGTACGAAGGCCATCTGTTAGCTTACCAGTTTCTAGTGATACATTAGTTGACATATTTGTGATTTTCTTTGAATTTCACCTTTAACTTTTGATCTGGATAAGCTTCAAAGCGTTGTTTTAATTTATTGTTGAATAGTCAATATTACTGGAAATTAACAATGATCTTGTGGTGACTGCAAAGGTTAGTTAAGGTTATGGAAGTGTTTACTTCCCTGTTCAAATCCCTAAGTATTCAATGGGGGTGATATACAAGGCCTTCCTCTGACCTATATAGTCCTGTTCAATTTCCTTCAGATAGTTTACAAGATACTCCTAACTGGAAAGTGATGTTATCAACCTCAAACAATCTTCTAGATGTTTACCAAATAATGATAACGATCACCACTTGTATTTGGTATATTTGCGTAAAAAGTAGAAAGACAAATTTAAAATACCAATAAATGTGAAGTGTGGACTTTCTTTGGCACAATATCTTTTCATTCTATTTTATGATTTGGTTGTTACCTGAGTTATGTCTAGCTCATCTGTAGATCAAGGAGATAGATGTACATCATTAGTTTAATACAGACCATATATGCTCTATCATATCAATATCATGATTAAGACTCCTGTGAAATCAGCTTAGGGGCAATTTCATATCCAGTAGTGTCATTGTTGTGCATTTCAATATGTTACGCACAAGGCTCTTCAAATTGCCAGAGGTGGATTTTCGGGAAAGTCTTTGCCATTGGGTTCTATGCACCTCTGAACAGATGTTCTACATTATATGTTTAACAATATATTACCACAGTGTATACTTTGAAAAGCCACAGTATCATGACAGAGCAGAGCATTAGCCTCATGATATCAGGAATTGTATCCGTAAATAGTGTCCTGATAGGGCTGTCATGCAGAGCCAACACCACTTTTAGACCACAAGTTCTGGTAACATGCAAAGATGCTCATTCCTGCGGCATCAATTAATAGCTGTGATTTAAAGTTCAGCCGGGTATTTCTATTTTGCATCACAATAGTAATGGAGAGACCACATGGAGCCATTGCTGGTGGTAGATCAGAGTAGAAAGTAGCAGCACTGGCAGGCAGGCAGGATACGGGATGAAAGAGTTTGTTCCGGATCCACTTCTGATTGTTGTGGAATGCCGTTGGTGGTGGTGTTGAGGTTCACTTCTAGTTCAGTTGTCAGAGCGGATTATGAACCTGTCGGATGGATCCTGGGCTGTGCATGGAGATGCATGGAGATTGTATTAGTTACATCTGCTTTTTAACACCAATGTCCTAAAATAGAGCACTCAATTGGAGGTGTAATTGACCCTCTACATGCCCATGGGTTTAAGCTTGTTAAGATACTTTGGTTTCATTTGATGATGTGATTTAGAGGTCTTTTACATCTGTTGAGTTGAGGTGAACTTGGGACTTGTTTTTACCATTCAGAATGAAAACAAAGTTCATGTACAAATAGTTCATGTTTGTGAGTGCATTGGTGAATATGCAGCTGCATGCAGGTTACGTCACAATTGGTTAATAAACAAGACTTGTTAAATTCTTGGTCTGGCTCAATTTAAAAATGATAATGTAATGATGTACAGGTGTACAACTGAGTTTAAATTGAAATAAATGATGATTATGTTAAGATTACATACATGTAGTGGTCACAATGAACCCGTTCATGTTCAAGAATCAAATATTGAACTATGATGAAGTCTTTGTTGAAAATAATTGGAATTGCCATAAGAAAAATATAAATGAATTGACCTTCAAGTTTTTTATATGATCATGCAAATCTTCTCTCTTGTTTCTTCCTCTTTCTACCAGCTATGACTACGTGGAGGTGTATGATGGTGAAAGTGCTAGGGATGTTTTACTTGGTAAATACTGTGGGACAACCAAGCCACAGACCATTACTTCTACTTCTCAAATGCTGTTTGTACGCTTCATGACAGACTCATCCATAGAGAGACTAGGATTCAGTGCTAATTACAGTACAGGTCAGTATAATAGGACTACATCAGTAAACAATCAGGGAAAGTCCATGTATTAATCAAGTTATCTTTAAAGTATATTAAGATATGTTTATAGAGATTCTGTGGTTTTTAAATGAGGTTAGTGCCTATTCACAGATGTCTAGTTTCCAAGCTAATGAAGTGTTTTTAAATATCCATATTATATACAGGAAATTGCTGTTCTCTGTTTGAGACTTGTTTTCTCCTTTCCTTCCTTCCTTCCTTCCTTCTCTCTCTCTCTCTCTCTCTCTCTCTCTCTCTCTCTCTCTCTACACATACATATATCTATCACTTCCTCTCCCTCTTCCTATTTTCCACCCTCCCTCCCTCCCTAACTCTCTCCTACTTCTCTCCCTTCTCCTTCCCACCCTCCTCCTTCCCACCCTCCTTCTCTCCCTCCTCCTTCATCCCTGCCCTTTCTCTCTCTCTCTCTATCTCTCTCTCTCTCTCTATCTCTCTCTCTCTCTCTCTCTCTCTCTTCCCATCTATCTCTTCTCTTATTCATTTATGTATTAAGTCATTAAAACATACATGTATGTGAATTAAAGTATCGTAAATTCAAAAATGTCATTGATATGTGCACATCAACTGAGTCATCAATAAAGCTATGATTAGTGTACATGGTAATTCAAAGTGACGTCTACATTTTGTCACAAAATTTAAAAAGTGCCCAAAATGGTTTGGAAAAATCAAACAAAGAGTTGGCAGAGCTCCAGCGCAGTCAACGAAATAACATAATATGACAACTCTCTATTGTTCAGCTGGACAATACTTCAGATAACTCATATTTAATGAGAAGTTTGTATTTTTCTCTTAATAACAAATGATTTGTCTCTCATTGTTAGAATGTCGAGATTTCATGGGTGATAAGATTTGAATGGAATGAACAACTGTCAATCAACCTCAAACCGAATACTAGTGTTAGGGTCAATGAACTTTGGATTGTTGGTTGGTGTGGATTTGGGTTATTGTAATGTGGTTTCATTTGGAAGCTGTATGTATAAGCTACGTATTGTGAAGGAAACTATTTGCTCTCAATTTGTCACCTTCTGAATAGTATTAAGTCTGTTTGTGAAATCTTGGAGTCTGATATGCTTGGATTGTAACAAAGATGGAAGATACATACCACCACAAAAAAGAGATCTATGGCCATTTAAAGCCAAATATCTTTGTTCTAATTGGTTAACATTGTTCTTTATTGAATCCTTGTGGGTACAAATAGAGTTGCTGTTTTTGTACAATAGGTTAGCATAAATTCCATGGATTTCATCATCATCATCAGAGATGCTATGAAAGAATTGATTCATAGGTATATATGTATCATACATATATATATATATATATATATATATATATATATACATATATATCTTTCAGAGATTATATCTTTTTCTCTTAAAAGATTTCCTTGATTGCATCATTTTTTTGTCTTAGTTATGCTTCCACTTGGTCTATAAAATCCATTTAAGAAAATATGCATTGTTCAAATGTGTTTTCAATGTGTTTTCGTCAAAATAAAATCATGTTTTAATTATCTGATGCCAAATGTTTGATTCTGTGTGGTATGGATTATTGGAATATCCCTGTATGAGGGGGGGGGAGGGGTATCAAAAGAAAAAGATCCCTTTATATTCAAAGTAGGATAAGTTGTGGTTGCGGATTGCGTGCGTTCATTGAATTGGAATGTAAACAATTCCTTGAATAATATGCTTGTCATACCTCTTGCGTGTTTGACAGAGAGGAAAATTGCTATTGTCATCGACCCCCAAGTGTGTCAAAACAGGGCTTTATTGTTCCTCTGTTCAAAGTACACAATAAGGAAAAATTGTTTTGATCTAACTTTATGCAGTACCATCTCAATTGATACCATTTGAAAGGATTTACTTGATGAAAATTATATATCTAAAAAAAGGCATTAACCTGATAACAAAGCAAATCAGCAGTCAACAAGAAAGCTAGCATTGATATTGAAGAAGTGCATTGCCCCATAAATTTAGATGTCGTTTTCATATACTTAAATTGTGTGACTTGCGTTGTAGCCAATTACACATTAATTATTGGAAATATAGTAGTTTGGTACATGTACATGGCCAAAAGACTGATGGTGGTCTTTGTGTAGGTTCCAGGACTTGAACTTTGTTCAATTTAGATAATAAGTAAGTTACAAAGGCTTACTGTGAGAATCCTCACAAATGTAAGTACTTCTGGAGTTCAGACTCTCTGAAGTGTTAATGATCCCATTCACAGGATACAATCAACCATGGTGTGTTCAAATTGTAAAATATATTACCTTCTATAAAAAATAAAAAAGCAGCAATTGAATTAGGCTATTCATTGGTCATCTCAATCAAGGAAGAGGCAGTAGAGACTGACACTGATTCTCTGTCATGTTCACAAATCCTTCATGTAGGGATAATTTCCAAAACTCTAGTACCTTAATTCTTGAAAAAATTGAATAAGTGTAGAAATAGAGGCATACTTCCACAAAAAAAATCATTAGAGGTTATAAATATACATATCTGCATGTAAGTAAGGCTATAGTAAGCAATTAATTCATATTATTATTCTCTTGTTCAGAACACAAATTATTGCAGCTGCAAGCAAAGACAATAATAGTGTTTCTCATCTAAGTAAGTCATTAACTTCTAATAACTGCTTTGTGCTTTCTTTATCAGGTTGTTCCGGGACATTCTTTGGTCCATCAGGCACCATCATATCACCTAAATACCCAGGGAACTATCTGGACAACCTGAACTGTGTCTTCAAGATTGTGGTTGGCAGACACAAAGTGATTCGCCTTGGCTTTAGAACATTCTCCGTAGAGGGCGGCACAGCTTATTGCAGCTATGACTATCTAGAGATCAGAGATGGATCTTCATCAGGTAATTGAGCTTATGTACATACAAACAAACAAATTGCAAAAGAGAAGAAAAAGTAAATACCTCTGTGGAGTTCTTGCTTATATTTTATGGATGAAATTCTTATCTTCGAATCACAATTTGTTTCTTTCTGTAAAAAGGTTTACTATTTTGACAAATATGAATTGAAAACAGAAGTCAAAGGATGGCAGAAGGTATATATCACAGGTTTGAAAATGTTGCATCCCTGCCCCACATTTGAAGTAATAAAGTGTGTAACAACACTTCTAAATTAAAGAGTATTAACGTATTACATACGACATTGTTTATTCGTCATCTATGCATTTATATATTTTTAAAACCTAATTTTACATGTACAGCATATCTCTTCCTTCATTTTGTCATGTCTTCTTGTACATTTTTACCTGTTATATTTTTTTAAAAATCATCTTTTTTTCTCCTGTCCTCATCCTTTGTCTACCTCCTCTGTAATTTAGTTTTATCTTCCTTTATTTCCATGAGTTTCGATGAAAAGTGATAATAGTAGTATTTAAGCCAATTAGTTTAGCATGTCAACTGTATCATTTCCTTTTGAAGTTTACCACTTGCTTCACCAGCAAATCCCCTTTTTATGTTCTACATGGCCATGGGTTCAGAAGAGAGTGATTCATACACCCTTAGCTGTCATGGACATGTCAAAACACATCTCTTTGTATTCAGACATCATTAGTCCTTGCCGATAGGGTGAAAAGAGCCATGAATTATCTAATCCTCTTTGTTAAACAGGAATTATTTTTATTACTTCAGGCTTTGGGTAGTAAGTATCACGTTCCTGTTTGTAAATGTTTAGGAAGTTTGTAAAGTTTACTTTGGCAGTCAAATTGGTAATTGTCCACCTAAGCAAAGGAAATAAAAACAAAGTAAGGATGTTCATTTTCTGGTTTAAAGACACCCTCAAAGTAATGTGATGATTATGTTGTCTTGATCATAATGCTCTGTCATCTGGGCTCTTCTCACCATGTTTAAGAATTATGTTCTGTTGTTTCCTTTTTTAAGACCTGATTTATTTACTATTTATTTTCAACTTGAGGAAAATCTGTAAATTCATATTCTCAACTCATCAAAGGCTTCTCAATTTACAATGATTTCAAGCAGCTTTATGGAAATTAAAAAACTAAAACATTGTGAATTACATGCAACAGAGTGAAGTATCTATGTATGCATGGAAACATACATTTACTCTAATTTGTAATGCTATGATAAAGACTTAAAGCATTATGTTTTCAGCCAATATCTCTTTAATGTACCTATCTCAAATGTATTTCTTTTGTTAATTTGTTAGATGAAATGTTTTATGGTTTTAGCATATCCTTAATGTCCTGCTCAAGTGATTGCAGATGGACTCTGCCATAAACACTAAATAACAGGATGTGTAAAGTTCATGTTCTTTTTATTATTTTGTTACTTGCTTTTTGTTTCTGTGGTTAGTTATGTCCTTATTTTGGAGTATCATTTCTCAGAGTATTATAGCAATATCCTTAAAGATATTTGGATGACCCAAAGATACAAATGACCCCTTCCCCTCGAGCAGATAACAAGAGTATCAGTGGTCATACTCTACAAATTTTACAATCTTTGTTAGAAATGAAGATGTTATTATAATATTTTTCAATCTCTCCCTTTAGAATCCAAGTCAATTGGCCGTTTCTGTGGAGAGGAGGATCCTGGAGTACTGGTATCTACTGGTAACACTATGATGCTAAGGTTCGTCACTGATGAGTCAGTCAAACGACAAGGATTCATGCTGGAATATGAAGCTATTGGTGAGTACCCTTACCAAACAGGAATACAAAATAAGTCTTCTGAATATATTCGCTTAATATTCAGAATACAAAATAAGTGGTATTTTAGTGGTTGCATGTATTCCTCCAATTTGAATACTAAAAATCTCATTGTCAGAACCACTAAAATCAATTTAAGTATTCAAATTGTGCTGCTTCGAATACTAAAATCCATTATAAGGAATGTAGTCTTCGATTATTAGTATTCTGAATGTACTAGTATTCAAAACTGGTTGGTTTGAATACTAGTACAATTGAGTCTTTGATTATAAGTATTCCTCCAAATTGAATACTAAAAATCGATTGTCACAACCACTAAAATCAATTTAAGTATTCAAATTGTTGTGGTTCGAATACTAAAATCCATACAAAGGAATTTTAGTCTTCGATCATTAGTATTCTGAATATACAAATATTTTCCATGAAAATACTAATATTCAAAACCTGCAGTTGGTTTGAATACTAGTAGAATTGAGTCTTTGATTATTAGTATTCCTCCAATTTGAATACTAAAAATCTGATGTTTGTTGTGGTACTATATTAACAACACCAATAGTTCATTGATGTGCGTAATCAGGCTGTGATTGGCGGAGGAATACCAGAATAAAGCACTTCCAAGATGGCCACTTATACATGAACAGTGTCTCCAGCAATGATCTTATTGATCTGTAGATCTGATCATTTTACATGGTGGCAGCGGTCAAAAGGATTGCCATATTTATTACTATTAAACTGCAAATTACATTGAGCCAGCAAAAATCTTGCATGACCTTGGATTCAAGCAACGTTTTTGAACTGCTGACAATCACAGCCAGTTGAGTAAATCTGCATGTGTCACCTGTGGACTGTATTATGTGGGGCATTAGGAGTATGACCGACGGGCACACAATGTATTGACTGTCAGATCGAGCCCTACAGTTACATTCAGGACCAGAACTGATGCAGAGGCAGAACCATGCAGAGCCTAGAGGCTCGCCATGACCAGAGCCTAGATCACCAGGACGAGAGCCTAGAGGCTTGACCAGGACCAGAACAGTATAGCACTGCAGTTTGGTTTTGGTTTTGGAACTGAGCCGCTCAGAGCGCGTCACGTTGCGATTAGAAATGAGTGGACCATGCAAGTAGATCCAGGACTAGTTGCTGGACTTGATTGATCTGATTGTGGAGTGAAAACTAGATTAGACTCTATGTCCTAGTCTAAAAGGACTAGGTCTAGACTCTAGACCTAACAGGTTAATTACCTAAGACATAGCCTATAATGTTTCGAATTGGGCTCAGTTAGGATGTGTTTAACATAATTATACAAGTAGCCTAAGTAGATCTAGATAATAGATCTATAGGCCTAAGTCCAATTTCTACATGTGGACCCTGGATCTAAGTCTAGAAATGTCTAACTTTTGAGTATGTGCATGATGATACTGGTAGACCAAATACTGAAACAGTGGTCTGTGGTAACTTCATTCCTTTTGGTTGAGTCACGTACAGGATCGAAGGTCTATTCCCTCAAAGCTGGTCCAGGACCAGTTGTCTACATGTATAGGACCAATATTACACAAGGGGGTATAGAGTAAAGGAGCCCGTTTTCGGCCACTTAAGACAAAATCCTATTTTTAGGACTCTTTACTTCCTATTTATTATCATTTCTTGTTCAAATCATGAAGCAAATATATTATTTAAACAAAAAAAGAATCCCAGAAAAAAATCACGAATTGCCATGACAATATTCATTTCAATTTTCACTGTTTTGGAGCCCGTTATCGGCCGAGCGTTTCAGTTTACGGCCGCATGTACAAAGTCAATAGGAAGCGCTCGCGCGCGCCGTGCGTTTCCGCGCTGATGTACAGCACAAGCGGGCGGAGCAGGTATCCCACGCCGGAGCTCCCTGATGCTCGCCTGGCCGAAGACAGGCACAGCGGTGATCGGAAGTTGGAATCTGAATTAGACAGAGATATCGTGTGTGCGTCGCGGTGTGCGGCTGCATTGATTTAATACATGCGATGACATACTTTTGAGCTTGCGACTAGCACAAAATCGGGCTCTAAATCTGAAAAATACTCGAAATAAAGCTCATTTTATGGTACCCATATTTCTTACAGACACGCGTAAGATACTCGATTTTTCAGATTTGGGTAGCGGGACCGGCGATTACATCGCTAAAATGTGATATTTTAGGATATATTTTCCATTGCAAATGTGGTTCTTCAGTGACACTGGCATGGTATGGTATGTGTGGGATATGTGTTATGCTATTATGCGATGTATTTTAGAGTGATTTTACCGTGCATCCAACCAATCGGCCGAAAACAGGAGCTGGCCGATTACGGGCTCCTTTACTCTAATTGTCTATAGACTTGATGTATTTTTATGCATTTGAACCTACATTGTGAAGTTGTATAAAGTGTGCTATATAAGTCATGATACATTATACATTTGTAGTATGAACATGGGCTAATTAATACTTATCAAGTAATATCGCAGATTTTGACCCCAGTTTGTTTTCAGAAAGCACTATTAAAACTGCTAAACAGCACGCACTGAAATAAGAGTTAATATCTAGCATGAACATCCTAGTACTTCGGGTGAAACAGTGTAGGCCTGTATGTCAATTTAAAAATACAGCAGAAATATACACGTACTGTAGTTGATGACTGTTAATTGGTATGTTATGTAGGGTCTACACTGCAATTTGTATGTTGTATGAGGTGATTATTATTGGGGTATAATTCTGCTGCATTGTGGGATTTTGGTGTTGGTCGGAATACTAATTCCAGCATTGCATATTTCAGATGACAAGTGGTCAGAATACTAATTTGTAGCTAGTATTCATCTTCTAATTTGCATACTAGTAGTAAGAATACTTGTTTGTATTCCTCATTTAAATATTTCGGCCTATAGGAATACAAAGGAATACTAACAAAGTGGTTCGAATAATTTGAGCTGACAGGAATACTAAATATGTGGTTCGAATACTAATTTGTAGCTAGTATTCGTCTTTTAATTTGCATACTAGTGGTTTGAATACTTGTTTGTATTCCTCATTTACATATTTCGGCTTATAGGAATACAAAGGAATACTATTACAAGTGGTTTGAATACAATCATGTGTATTCAAACCACTAATTTTCATACAGAATAAGTGGTTAGTTGTATTCAGATACATGTCTTCGAATACAACAGGAATACATTCACGTTTGGTAAGGGTAGACTCAGAAGGCTTCAAGAAAAGTTACTGTGCTTTTTTATGATTAAATCACAACTGATTTTATACTGGCTTTTTACAATTTGAGACAGTTTTTTTTCACAAAATGTATGTTATCAATTTGCAAAATGTTTTTGGTTTTAGGGTGTTTTACATTCAATCTGTTTTATTGTGTATTTCTTAGTCAGCAGTCAGTCCACATCACACATGTTACCTTTTATGTTTTATTTTCCTTTTTTTTTTATAGATTCCAAGAGCTACTTGTATGTAGAGCAGAGGAATACATGTAGATTTAGATTTAAAAAATCTATATTGTTCCCAATGTGTTATCGGTAGTCTAGCTACTAGAATATTCCTCTTTTCATAGAAATATCTTTATTCAGGGATTTGTCATAAAACTGCATTACCGAATTGGACAACTGTGGGATTAAATATAATGTCAACTTATAAAGTATGACATAAAATGTATAAGATATGTAAAATATTTGTGATTTGATGTAATGCATCTACATTACACTTTATCAAGATGTTTATCACCATGAGGGATGCTTCGATGACATGTACCTCAGCAAAATTTGTATCAAGAAACCCTCTTTCATAGACCTCCTTACGTATCCAGTGAAGGGAGTTTGGACCAAAAAACAACAACCCTGTCTTCAAGATTGTTTTCTTTGTTTGAGATAGCATGATTCAGTTGAAGAACATTGGCCTTGAGGAGCAACCATGCTTCTATTGAGTGATGAAAGAATAGCTATCAGATCAATGATCAGGATGCCAGCTAGTATTCAAATTGTTGACCGATATTGGACCTTGGCACCTCCTTGTTTCAGTCTTCATTTTTTTTCTCAAAAAGTAGGAGGATCTTAATATCTGCTTGGGCTTTTTCAGGCTCATCGACTAAAAACAACTTGTATCCCTGATCAGTATCCAACTCATGTTATGTTGTGTATATTGCTTGTATATTATTTCATCTCTTGAGCTAGTGCAAATTAAGCATTCGATTTCATTGAATTAGGTGTCTTACAAATCTTTTATTTGATTAGTATTATATTTTATTTTTATTATTAATACACCCCTGTATATGAATGTATTAATATAATGCTATTAATGTTTACTGTACAGCTGTGGACGCATCTGCTATAGATCCATGCATGGTAGACAATGGAGGTTGCAGGGAATACTGTCGTGTAGATGGATATGGGAATGCAGTGTGTGGCTGTCCTGAGGGCTATGAGCTGGATCAGACTCAGAAAGGATGCGTGGGTAAGATACCTCTGAAGTATTTACAGTTTGAAGGAGATCATAGATCAGAGTTTCCCTATCTATTGATGTTTATTATTTTATTTGTATTTAATTGTAATTGAAATGCTGCATTTCTAACTTTTACAATTAATTTACATTTTTAAATATTTAAACCATTTTACTTCATTTTCTACAAAATGTAAATTTAACCCATGTTTGAGATGAAGAAATGAATGAACATTGTAATGAATCATTTGATTGTTCATTTGATGAATAAAAGCTTACAATCTTGCAATATTCTTGATAGTAAACTGAATTGTTAATGCCATTTATCATGTTGAGAAATCATTGTCAGAATATTAGAAATATTTGTTAAATTGTTAGCCCTACTTTAGGAACAATCTACATGTACTTGATTGATCTCAGAATGAGGGGTTTGGCCTTACAAATATTCTGTATCTCAGAGTTGTGGCTGGTTCAAACTTATTACAACTCTGTATAACTTGGGACCCTGGACACGGTCTTTGATAGATATCTGAAGAATATACTGCAAATTATATCAAAGTTTTGACATATAATGTTCCTTTCTTCAGACATTGATGAGTGCCTTCGTAGTGAGAGCTGTCCACACATCTGTGTAAACCTGGAGGGTAGCTACAGATGTGAATGTATCCCTGGCTTTGAGGTATCCACCAATGGCAAGGCTTGTGATGGTAAGCTGTCCAAATGTCTCAGTTTTTAGTTATGTTTCTCATCCTTTGGGAGGGGGGAATGGTGCTATATAAATGACAGCCTTAATAGAGGAGTATGGTATCTTGCAAATGAATGTATACATTTGATGATGAGATAAATTGACAGCCCTATTTTTGTGTCTTAGTTTTTTGTTGTTTCTCATCCTTTCACAAGTAAGGAAGCTTAATGACAGAATTCTTGGAGGAGTCTGGCTTTTTGGGGTACTTGTACTTTTGTGCTTTCTTGATAATGTAAATGAGGGATTGAGTGAGGGATGCCTATTCATCTTTATAAGATGTAGATTTAGATGTTTTAAATGTGATAGTATCTTGTGATAATGTCTGTGTTATTGAAATCAAATGTAGTAATGGAATCAGATGACTAATTTTCAAGGAATTTTGAGAGAATATATCTTAAAATATTTATAGTCTGCTATATGCCTCTCAACTTTTAATGACTTCATTTTCCTGGTGTCTTACAATCTTTTAGATGTGAATGAGTGTGAGACTGAGAATGGTGGTTGTTCTCAGAGTTGCTTCAACACAAGAGGTTCATTCTACTGTGGTTGCACTGAAACAGGATCAATCCTCGGTCAAGATGGACGCACTTGTTCTCCAGGTGAGAAATAAGAAAGCTCACCTCCTTCTAACTTTCAAAATACAACTTAATTATATTATACATGCTGTAAAGAATAGCAAGAAAGTATGACTCACATTAGTTTCTAGGGTGTTCCTCTTCTACATTACAAAATTGCATTTTGTGTTTAAAATTTGACAATGAAATTGCAATGTTTTCCTTTTGAGTATTCAGATGTTGTCCAACAAGAGGAGCCAAAGAGACTTGTCACAATTTAACCCTCAAATGCTTGTTTATGAAATGATTATGACAATGACAATTTCTCGCTTATCATTTGTGGCCATTTTTCCTTCTCTGACACTTGGAGCATGTGATCCTGGAATTTTTAAACAGATATTGCACAAAATCTGAAAAAGAGGTTCTTTTAGAGTATTCCTGCTCCAAACATATGAAATGATTTCATTTTCTACATTTACATATATTTTCATTAATATTCTGTTGGTTTGTAGAGAGTAGTGTGGATGTAAATCCATTATTTATTCTAATCACAAACCCTTATTTTGTTCCTGTTCCTAGACGCTATAGGTTCAAGTTGTCGTGAGAATAACGGTGGTTGTGAGCAGGTATGTCATGAGAGACATGGTGGTCACTACTGCTCATGCCATGCTGGGTATAACCTAGGACCTAATGGAGTCAACTGTACTGGTAAATACAAACCTCCCTATATTCTTATTATCATCATATGTATATTGCATTCTTTGATCTTGGTATATTTATATGTATATGCTGAATTTCTTTCTGACATGTAGCATTGACTATATTGAATAAAAGAAGAAAGATGGTAATTTATCAAGGATCTAGCTATGAATAATCAAGACTTTATGTTACTCAAATTATTTTCTCCCCTGTCATCTATGTAGATTAGTAAACATAATTGAATTAATTATCATTCTGCATTCTTTCTTACAAGTTTAGATTAATAAATAGTGAAATTTAATAGCCTCGGAAAAGAAAAAGATATACATGTTTGTGTACAAAAAAGCTCTTGATCAGTTTCTGATGTACATGTACCAAGTACATTTGATTTCATACCCCCAACCCAAAAGAAACTGAATTGCTATTATTCATCTGCCTCTTTCATCTCTATTAGATGTGGATGAGTGCCTGAGACCTGCTTCAGACTTCTCTACATACAGCAATCATTGTAATCAGAGATGTATTAATACAGCAGGCAGCTACTACTGTGACTGCGATGAAGGATTTGAACTCAGTCCCAATGGCAGGGTCTGCAAAGGTAAGACTCACAGTTCTTTCCTCTCTATAAGATTGGATCAGGTGGTTGATTGGTAGACTCTTTACTTCTGTGCTGCAATGTTGTTGGCTAAACCATGTGTAGTTGTTGGATTGAACGAGTACATGTGCTGGTGGTGGTGATCTGGCTGATATGTATTCAGGTGAAGATGTTGAGGATTGATGATGATAATGATATTAGGGATGAGGATGACTGGGGTGGTGATGATAGTGGTTTTGGTAGTGGTGATAAGGATGATTAAGATAATGAGTATGAATATGGTGGACACAAGGTGCTGATTGTAGCACTGTATTAAATGCAGTTAGTCATGATGATGATGACTGTAAGATGATGAATATGATAAGTTTTTATTATGAAAATGATGATAATGATAAATATTGTGATGATAATGATGAGGATCAATGATGGTGATGGGAATGCTGATGATTGTGAGGTAAATGAATGTTATGGTGATGATGTGGATGATGATATTGGTTGGAATGGGAACACTGATTTCAATGATTGTGAAAATGTTGCATCAGTGGCGTAATCATCAACCTGTTTATATCTTTATTCTCTCTCCCTTTCTCCCCCGATGTCAATCACTAGATATTGATGAGTGTGCTTCTGAGCTGAGGTACCAATGTGAACATGACTGTATCAACTTCCCTGGTGGATTCCGCTGTCAATGTTTCCCTGGTTTCCGTGTCTTACCGATGGCATTAACCATCCAATGTGAAGACATTAATGAGTGTGATCCTCAACCTGAAGACTGCCATGTGTGTACTAACTTAGATGGAGGGTATGTATTCAATAAATGTACTTGTAGAAAGATTTCTCGTTATTAAAAAACACCTATATTTCATGTAAGACTAAAGATATCTAATATGGGTCAGCATGCATAAAAAGTTAATATAAATCACAATTTCTGAATACATACATGTCATTGTAATTGACTGAACATCAATGAATGTTTACTTTTGAAAGATAAGTTTTAAAAAAAATTATGCAACATAGATCTCATGATACAAATTGTTCATTTACGTAATCTTTAAAAAATCTTTCATGTTAAAAATTATTACTTCCTAAATCAAGAGGGAAAGCATGAGATCTTGTTTCATCATATTCAGTGAATATTGGGTGGATTTAGATTTAATTCAGCATTTAAAAAATCTGTTATTTTAGTTTTATTTATATCATAAGAAGATGTACAACAGTTGTAGATATTCTGATAGACCATTTGTTAGCTTATACATGTACATGAACATATATTTGGAATATAAATACATAGTATATGGGCATGCGATTTTAAATTAGATTGTAAATCTGTATGCATATCAGAACAATGCATCCTCTAGCTACTGTATCTAATGCAGATGTGGAAATGTTGGAACATCTTCTACTCTTGCATTTTTTTAGAGTAATGATCATACTGTGCATTTCTGATAGTGGTGCAGCAGTGTTTAGGGTGATGAACAATATTCAGTCGAAGAACAAACTATTGTATTAGTAATTCCACTGGTCTCATTTCTCTTTGTCCATGAATGTTCAAAAACAGAAGTCATTCACTTTGTTTCTTTCTTCGTTGCTTTTTCTTTCAGATTCAAATGTTCTTGTCGAGAAGGCTTCATAACTAATGACAATGCTACTGCCTGTCATGACATCAATGAATGTGATATCAACAATGGTGGATGTCAGCATGTGTGTGTGAACCTTGCAGGCAGCCACGAGTGTCGTTGTAGATCAGGTTTCCAGGGGACGGACCCTACTAATATAATCTGTGTGGATATAGATGAGTGTGGAGCAGATAGAAGTGGACCGTGTGATCACCGCTGTGACAACACTGATGGTTAGTACCACCTCAATGTGAGGTATATAGTTAAGAAAAGTCATTCATATAAGTAGTTTGTCAACCATTTCTCCTTCAAAAAAAATCTTACTTTTGTTTTTGTAAAGTTTTTATTTGATCTTTCTGTCACAAAGGGGATAAATTTCACCCCCAAAATTCACATGTTTGATTAAAGTCTGGAGGAATATTGTATTCCTCTTCAAACAGCAAGAATGTATCTGTGCATTGTCAAATCTGCTGCCATGGATATTATGTCCATTTTACCAATAAAGCAGGAAATAAACAAAATTAGAAAGCCATTGAAAGTTTCGTTCATATTTTTTGTAGCACAGAAGAAGTAAAGTTACTGTCCTTTTTAGGTAGCTTTGAGCTTCGGTTTGGTGAATTGGTTACTGAGTACATAGTGAAATCAAGAAAGTTGAGACTTCCAGATATTAATATGTTAATACTTTGTTTTGTAATTGGCCTTCTTGTAGTCATTCTATCGCAAGAATTTTGTGACATCAAAATATACTACATTATTTCCCAAGGATCTTTCCAGTGTACATGTCGTAGTGGTTTCTACTTGCGAGAGGATAGACTGACATGCAGCGACATAGATGAATGCCAAGATAATAATGGAGGATGCAGTCAACAGTGTGTCAATATACCAGGAGTGTGGGAATGCAGGTGAATAGAAATAAACAACATCAGGATAAACTGTACTACCAAATAGATTGTGAATATACATACACTCAATAGTAAAACTGCTGCTTAAATCAAGAAGAAAGAATTGAAATAGATGCCTTCTCATTAATTTACAGTTAGTCTCTGAATTGATCACATTGATAAATGATAGCAATCAAACCTTATAATCATGATGCAGTTTAGATGGTCGAATTGCTGGAGTTTTTTTGTCAGATCTTGAAATTTTAAGTTATACAATAAGCAACTCTAAGTTATTACCAACTAGATCAGATTTCAATATACCTGATGGTTGCATTAAGTTGTTAGCACAGTTACCACTTGGATCAACCCAAGTATGAAGTACAATGATAAGTTTAATATTATGCTCTTTATTTCATGGTACTTTTGTGACATATTGGACTAGAATTACCTTACAATTTTAGACTTGATCCAAATATATCATAGCCCTAGGTGCATTTAATCATTAAAAATAAAGCTACATATAGAGTGACTGTATGACTGGGCTGAATACAAACTGTTTATATTTCTTGACTGCTAGATGCTTTGAAGGTTTCCGTCCTCGTAACCCTGAGATCCCTGATTCTGATGAATGCATGGATATTGATGAATGCCAAGAGAATAGACACGAGTGTGTGGGGGCAGAGGAAGCTATATGTGAGAATACTCAAGGCAACTATACATGCAACTGCCCTAATGGATTCTACACATTTGAATGGATACACTGTAGAGGTAAGATCACATGTTTACTTGTAGTACTTGATTAGATTGTAAGATGAATAGTTTATGTTTCGTTCTATTGATAAGGATCTTAAAAGTTTGTAGTAATGGAATTAGATCCATGCAACTGGTCATGTTTCTTCATTGATTACTGAGTATACATTTACATATTTTTTAGTGTTGATTTGGAGTGTTGAGTGTATTTCAATATTGAGTTACAATATTGCCCCTATAATACCCCTTCATTTTTCTTCGGTTAAATTGCTGACATAGACACTAAAATTGTAAAAATTGATAGGTGCATATCACAAACATCAATACACCCCTTACATGTATGTGTTAATCCATACTCATAAGTAATTTGGAAATTAGTCTTATTGTAATCATATTTGATACACATGAATATGGCATTCAGTATGAAAGAACAGAGGCATATGCAGTCAAACCTGCTTTAGTGACCACCTGTCTACAAAGTCCACATTTTTTTGTCTCCCTTGAAAATGGTTTCTCATTGAATCATGTACTAAAGGAACTTGTCTGCAAAGACCACTTTTTGTGTTTCCCTTGGGCAGTCGCTATAGACAGGTTTGACTGTATCAAGTGCTATCATTTCACAATATGTAGACTTATTCCTATGTTTATGTTATGTTTTCTTTTGACAGACATTGATGAGTGTAGCAACTCCTCTCTCAATTCCTGCCAGCAAACGTGCAATAATTTACCAGGGAGGTAAGCATTCATCCCAAATCACAGGAAATATTTCAATAAAACTAGGATTGTATTTCTATTTCCAATGAGGAATTAATATTCTAGGCTTCTCATAATGTTTTTTTAGGTTTTCTTTTCCATCCTTCAAACATTGCTGATAAACACCGTAGTTGATCATGTACATGTATTTCAGTTGTGTATCTTAAGTATATTTTATTTGAACATTATATTAGGATGTTCTTATTTAAATTGATTATGAAATAATATCCTTTTTGTAAAAGAGCCCAAAATATTTAAGAACTGCAAGTTACCCTCAAGAATGTTGAACTGTATGAACACCTTATTATTCTCTTCCAATATTTTTAGTTGTGTTCATTATGTATGCATATTGACATACTTGTTTATATAAGGAGATGTAAAAATATTGAAGATAAGCTCGTAGTAAATGATCCTGCAATACTCTTATCCTACGCTCTCTTTACTCCCTTTTTCTGAAATGGACTCATATCCACTCTATCAAAATGCTCCGAGTCAGTATTTATTTTGTTTTTAGCCTTTGCTCCTGTAATTCTTTCCATGTTGTATTTGTCTTTTTCTGATAGTTTTATATCCATACAGTTCATGTAGCATTCATTACTGAATGTATTTCTCTTTCTTGCAGTCATTTATGCTCATGCGACGGAGGTTATGTAGAGGTCAATGGTACATGCAAAGGTAAGCTCAAGGCCACAACTTAAACTTTCTCTTTCCTGAAAAATTAAAAATTAATTTACATGAATCAGATATGATCAAAGCAAGATGTGGACATATTATCCCAAAGTGTTTTGATGAGCTTCACCTTTTATATTAGTGTTTTTCTTTGATGGCAAATTGTCCATATTGCATATGAATATATTTATAGGCTTGTAGCCCCTTTTACATCTTCATTTTATTGAAGGTTTACATGAATAAGGCTAGTAGTGTACCAATCTGTATTCTGATTCCTTATCTAATCTGCATCTAGTTTATAGCAGATGTAATCAAATTCCTGTGTATTTTCTATTTGATTTATGTTTTATTATTTATTATACAAGAAAATGTAAAAATAAAAGCTGATGTTTCTTGTTTTACCATGTATCGTACCAGACATCAATGAGTGTGAGGAGGGACTATGTGATCACAATGACCTGTGCGTGAACACAGAGGGCAGCTTTACATGTCAATGTCACGATGGTTTCTTCCTGACATCCGATGGTCTCTCATGTTCAGATGTTGATGAATGCAAGGTTAATAATGGAGAATGTCAACAGACATGCATCAATGATAGAGGAGGGTCAGTCTACTTGCTTTCATGTTGGATTTATTGTAAATTTATTAGTTTGGTTTAGTTTGACGCAATTCTAACCCGAGCATGAGAGATAGGCAGTTCTTGTCAAGTTATAATATTAAGAGTCTATTTTTGTGTCAAATTTTGTTACACTTAGACTCTTTGCTCAAATTTGTGTTGACCTCTTTTAAAGATCAATGATTGTGATCCTTTTGAGGGAATGTTAATTAATCATTATTCAACTATTTCCGTATGACTTCTCTGTGATTTAATCACTATTTATTACTTATCACCAGCTATGCATACATTCATGTAGAAGCTCACATGTTGAATAAAACCCCTTTTCATTATGGTTTCTTATCCTTTAGACATAGATGTGACTGTAAGGAAGGCTATGAACTCAAGAAGAATGGCAGAACATGCAGAGGTGAGGAACAGTGTGCTGGAGTAAATACAACAGATTCATTTATGAATTTACTTTTTTATTACAAAAGCTATTATTGAGTTATTTTCTACCATCTGTCTTTACATTGAATTGCTGTGCGAACCCCCTCCTATCCCTTTTTGCATGACCTGTCTCATATATTCGTTCTATTTAGCTGCATTTATCTTTTTATATTCCAATCATTTAAAAATATGAAAACATTCACTGTAGTTGAGTACTTCTAAATTGTTAAAATAAATTATTATGTCATTTGACCATTATTTTGTTATAATATCAATCAGTAGATTACTCAGTATAATTATAAACAAAAAACATTTCAGGTGTTACTGATAATCTTTTTTTCGTGCTCGTGATGCACGCCAAGCGAAAGACTGTCATATATGACAATATGAACGACATTAACAATGACAAAATGTATTGTCCTAAAATGGTGTGGTGATCATTTCTCAACAGATAACAATGAGTGTGATACAGAGTATGCCTGCTGTAATCAAGTACACAACTGTGTCAATCTACCAGGCACATATACATGTAGCTGTGATCCAGGCTTCTACATGGATGCTGATAACTGTACTTGTTTAGGTAAGACGAAATGTGTGCGATTTAAAAAAATAAAATTCAAATCTTTCCATTGACACAAGATATTGATTCAATTATTCCTTGTCAATTTCAACATTCTGTCATTCTCTCGACTTGTATATCATTTAGTACCATGCATAATTTGATGAAGGATTGTAAAAAATGCACCAAAAAATTGAATATTATGCGTGGACAGCTAAGGTGGGTAATATAAACTCCAAGACGTGATGAAGTTCTCACCAATAACTGAAGACCATTCATAACCTAAGACTTGATTTTTAAGTGATTAATATTATTTAAATATGAATATTGAAATTAAATAAAATGAGATCATGTGATCATATAGTTAAAATTTAAAAGTATGATTTGTTGTTTTGAATTTAGTGTTGATTCTATAAATATTAAATTTAAATTAATAAAATGACCAACTCTGTGATTAATGAGTAATGTGTAATTTGAAGTTTGTTTAATTGATTATGCTTGATGTTATATACTTTGTAACCATGTGAGAAAAAAAAATCCAATTATTTGGACGATAAAAATTAAAAAACAAAACAAATCAAATCAGATCAATCAAATCATGCAACTATATTCGCTTTCCTTCTCTCTCTCAATAGATGTGAATGAATGTGAGCTGAACAATGGTGGCTGTGATCACATCTGTACAAACTATCCAGGAGGATATAAGTAAGCCTTGGTTACCTTCTCATATGTCATTCTCAAGATGGTGATATAAAACTGCTTTCTGGATTTTATATTTCTGTTTTCATAGAGTAATTAAAGGGAATATCTTTTTTTTTTCTTCATGCATTTGAAATTTGAATTTTTTCACACATTTGGATTAAAAGTGTTATAGCACGTGAATAGAAAATATTTGATTTTAAGGTCGTTCATATAACCCTGCTCTTTGTGGAATTTATATTTCTGTTTTCGTCAAGTAAAGGGGATAGATATCTTTTCATTGTGCAAATGATATTTGGCATAAAACTAAAATTGTGGTAGATGAATAGATCTATCTATTTATCTGTCTGTCTACCCGTCTCTCTCTCTCTCTCTCTCTGCGTGTCTATCTATCTATCTATGTATTCATTTACTTGAGGTTATATTAGATATTCATGTATCTATCAACTAAAATCTAATCTACCTCGTATTTTGTAGATGAACATATTGCCATCAGTATGTCACCTGAGAATGATGTTTTAGTATTCTCGTTGGACTATATCTGTGTTCTTGTTAATATTATCCATAAAATGTCTTGTAATTGTTACAGTTGTTCCTGTAGTGAAGGATACGAGCCTCACCATGTTGCATCTAACAGGTGTAGAGATATAGATGAATGTGCAACAGTAAGTTCATTTTTATTTCTTTACTTTCTCATCTCCTTTGTAACAGCAGCTGAACTTGTATTATTGTTCTTAACTGTCTCTGATAGGCTTCTTAAACTTGTTGTGGTTCACTGTAAAACTTTAATATCATGATTCTTAACAGATTGTTGACGCTGGCTGCTTTTGCAGCAAAAACTTTCAAGCTTTGATTCAGTATTGTACATGTAATTAATTGACTTTGCTTAAAACTTTCACAAATCTCAATCACTTGCAATATTTGTAGAAGTGTGTAGTTTTAAACCTTTCTTGATGTATAATATACATGGCTGCATTCATATGAGTGTAAGAAATACCGCTACATGCATCCTACAAGTATTATACTCGATTTCACTACAACTCTTTAAAAACTGTTAAAACATGATAATGAAGGTCATTGCTTTCTCTTTAATTTCAGTTAAATGGAGGATGTGATCATTTCTGTTCTAACTATCCTGGTGGCTATAACTGCTCCTGTCAAGGCAACTCCAAACTCAATGTGGACACACAAACATGTAGCCGTAAGTATCACATCACATTGCAAATATTTCAGTCTTTGTGAATGATCTCCACATATTCAACATCATGTATATCTCACTCTTTTTCTTATTGTTTGTTTGCTCATTGTATGTCTTTATTTGAGCCTTCTTTTGCCTCTTTCTGTATAAAAGACTTTTTAAAAAGAAAGAATCTAAAAAGACTATTACCTTAATTTTAACAGTACAATTATTGTGGGTTTTTTTCTTCCAGCTTGTCCGACATGTGAGAACTTTGAAGAACTACAGGGAATGTTGATGGACCTCAAACTTATGGTTGAATCTATGGATAAGACTATTACAGGACTCAGGCAAAACAATACACTACTTGAAATGAGGGTGAGTACCGGTATATACATGTAAGACATGGATTACCTTTTACACATTCATTGAGTGTAACTTGAGCCTGTATCATCTCTGGCTCGTCTTCCTTAAAATGTTAGGCCTTGTAAGAAAAGGCCATTTTTCGACCTCTCTGATTTGGAAAAAAATATCAAAATCAGGCCAAGTTGAGTTTAATTTGAAGAATACCAGCCTTTAATTGTTGGGTTCAATTTGTTCTATACCAACTATAATTATAGGATACATCGATGTCTTTGCTCTGTAAAATGAAATAAAATTCTGATTTTTCAATATTGGAAGTGATTATTTTCATATCAATCTTTATATCTTAAGATACATGTTGCAATTACACAAATGACAACAAAAGGTATGCAATTTAGCCAATGAATATTAACTTGCTTTATTTCAGCACATTAGATTGAAACGCATTTCCACTATTTCTCCTTTCTTTTTTCATGCAGCTACGGAAAGTTGAAGACTGGCAGAGTGTGGAGTCAAGCAAGAAACTTCCTGCGGATATAAATGTTATAAACTAATGTTAATCATGTAAATGTATTTTCGTACCAACTTTGAACATAGTGTACATAAGTCATGTATGAATATTATAAATATATTTAAAGTGAGAGATGTTTGTATGATGCAGGGTGAAGTGTGACTACGGTATGTTGTTTTTGGACATACTGAGTTTATATGGATGATGGTTGTCAGGGAGGTCAAAGGTCATGTAGCATAAAAAGGATTTGTGATTTTCATAATACATAGATGTTAAAAATGAACTAAACATATACTTTTTACAATACATATGTGTGTGGTCATCAAAATATACCATATAATTAGATTATGTTGAGTACATATGAACACTACTATACTTTTCTTGTCTTTGTATTCTTCTTCCATGCACTATCATCCCCTCATTCTGTGTCTGCTCCTCCTTGACTCATTTCTATTCTCCCCCTTCCTTCTAGCTCACAGAATGCCCCCCTCCCCCTCCCCCCCCCCCCACAAAGTATCACAGATCACTTTATTTTGACCACAATTTCATGTATGAATAGATGTAAAAAGTAGTAAATATGCAAGAAACCTTTAAGAATGAAAGTTCATACATGTAATATGATCAGGGAGAACAATTAGCATTGTAATGTATTTTTTCAGTAATCTACTGTGTGAACTTTGCATTTCTGCTTGGTATACTTGTATTATGAATGGTAGTGCTATTGTATGTATATCTATTTCTACTTTAATGTAGAGTATATGTTTTGGCAGAATTATTTTTAGACCAAGTCAATGATAATTTGAAACCGTTTATTTGACCCTTCCCTTCCTTGACGTACAGTAAAAAAGCACAGAGTCCTGGACTATTAATTTAAGAAGAAGAAAAAATTACAAACATATGAAGATACATGTAGTTATTTCTCATGTAATAATCAGAGATGTAAACATTTTGTATTGCTCAAAAAGTGGAGAAATATTGATGTAATGTCTAGAAATTTGATGAAAGAAAAAGAAAATTAACTTTAAATGTTGATTATGATGAGTAGATCTTTATTAAAGTTGAAGTGAAATGGGGACTTGGCTGCAGACAATGGTTACTTGAAGCCATATATGCTGCATACTTGCTCAGGATTGTTGCTTCCATGCTGCAGCTCATCAAAATATAAAACTTCATATTTTCTAAAGTACAGTAATCCACAGTGTTTGATTCCATGTAATGTCATTGATTCCATGTAATGTCATTGATTCATTAATGTGGTAAAAGTATGTCTTTCATACAATGTGGTGCGTTTGTGCAGTCTAAAATTGATTATTTCTACCCTTTGAAATAGCAAGGGTGTAAAAAGCATGAAATTATCAATTAGATATGATTTATACATGTAGGTATAACCATTTTTCCCCCTCTTGACACAATTTTGTTATCATACTGAACCTTCACCTGTTGCAGATATATCCATAGATTCAATTAATGCTTATCTATTTCAAACCAACTTTTATTTCCTTGAATTAACTTTTGTCCATGATTTAACTTTTTATAAGATTTCCACTGATTCTGTGAAAGTTCCTGATTTATCACGACGATTAGGATTCTTATTTTCACTGGCCATGTCCGCTGATGAAACTTTTCCGATGTTACAGAATCTTGTAATTCAAGCTTTTATACAGAGAAATTAGGAGTAGAACATTAAGCATCAAGTCACCCCTATTCCTTGCTCTGATTATTTTCTCATTTCAGCACATATCCTGTGGACCTTGATTCCATGGTAGTCATTTGTTATTAAAAGACCTATAATGGAAAACTTCTGTTAGATACAAATGCAAAGGTACAATGCACATTAAAGATATAGAAGATTTTTTCTTCTTCAATGTTAATGAAATGTAATGTAAACAGTTGTCATATTAGAGCAATTCAGTTTGTAATGTACTATTAAGGAGCACTGTTCTGTCATGTTAGCACATCTCATTGTTTTAATTGTATGATATAGTAATTGATTCATTGGACAAAATGAGATTTCATTGCAATGCTTTAAGAAATTAACAACAATTGTAAAACAACATTTTGTGACATGAAACCTCTGCAAATTATAAATGTTAGCACATTTCACTCAAGAAACTCTTTGCCTAGGGAAAATTCTTTGTTATGTCAGTTTGGGCTCTATTACTTGACGGCATGAAACTCTCATCACTGTGAACCATCCGTCAAATTTGAAGATCATTTTGTGAGCACACAATTTTCTGGTTTTATAGTATAACTTGAGTTTATGTTTTCTTTGTAGGATGTACAGAGGATGATATTTACGAGAAGTTCAGTAGAATTCTTTTCTTTATAGCTGGAAAGAGACCTAAATGTTTAGCTATTATATATGCATAACTATGTGTACATAAGTTACTTGTATAAGAAAATACATGTAATAGGAATTAGTAACACAACAAAATATTGAACTCCTGTATGGTTTCCATTGTATACTACATCTTTCACATGGTGGAATATTCATAACAAAACAAAACAAACTGGTGCTATTGAAAGAATGAGCTGCTCTTCATTTAATATGAGGTGGACTAAAATATACTCTGACTGATAGATTGTCAGCTTCTTTAATCTTATAATATAGATGAATCCAACCTACTTCAAACTTGTATACATCATATATCTAATAATGCACAGTCTTTTAAGACTAAAACAGTTAAAAGAGCAATTTATGACAAAAGAAATTTGTAAAAAAGGAGAACTTCTGATGTGTATGACATGTACTAGGTATATGAAACATGTATCATTTTGACAAGCTGCTAACTTTGATGGCTGAATACTGAGTGTGGCATGTGAATAGATAACTTGTAAATAATCTTCATAGCACAAGTACAATATAATTATGATTTAATGGTGCTTTTTGTATTAAAATTGTGATGTGAACAAATATCTCTAGCGGTATATGTATTTCTGCTTAGTTTGTACTGTATTTTATGTCACCATTTTTTCAATTCTTGGGGGGTGGGGGGGGGGGGGGGGGGGGGTAAATCGGAAGTATTAAAGGCACTCACAAGCATAAGTTCATTATCTCTAATAATATAATAATAGTAGCAACAACAATAATAATAATGGATATTTTCATAGCGCACACCATGCAAGGTGCTTAAAGCACTCCAATATTACCCCAGCCCTGCTAGCTAGGCTACGGATTTCGATGTTCACAGCATTCAAGAAAGATGGATGCAAGCAGTGCTCAAAATACAACACCCTTTCCTTCTTAAAGCCAATTTCGCTAAGCCCCCCCCCCCCCCCCCCCCCACGAATTGCATTTTCATATTCTTTGATTTTAAATTTAGAAATATCAATTAACAATTCCAGATTGGTGTAAAATATCTTTCCTTCTTAAATGGTACATGAAACACTAAAGCACCTTCTAATCATTTACATCCCGGTTAACATCTGAATCTATTTGTTGTCATAAGTACATGTATTGGGTCACGTTTAGGGCTGCAAATGGGTGTGATTTCACATTCAATTTAGGGTAAGGGTTAGTTATGTCCAGGGTTGAACAGGGAATTTGTATAAACTTGTTTGATCAAACCTTCCTTTATGCAATTATACAAATGAAATCAATATTCAAATCAATAAACCTCTCCTTATGGCTTATTCTATTATTAATACAGGTATATAGAAGGAAAAGCACTCAGAAAACATGACAGCCCACAAATAGAATGTTTAATTATCATACTGTTAGTATTTAATATATAAATATACATCCAAATTATTTTACATATTTCTGCACCAAAATACACTGAAACAAAGTTTCTCATAATATTGACTAGGGGGTTGTAGTAGACAATAATGAAAGACCTACATGACAAGCAATGAAAGCAGACATACTGAAATGGTACGATGCAAAGATGATATTCTACATGTTATATTCCTGTGAAACCGCAAATTCTTTAAATAAAATCTGTGGACATGTACAGTGTTATTTATCACATAGGAAACATGTAAAATGCTTCTATTCAATATACCGTACTGTTAGTGATCAATAGTCCTAGATTTATGCATCTTCTGTTGTTTCATAAATTGATATAACATCTATTTTTGAAACATAACATATCATAACAAAATATATGGAACATATTAAATTAGTGAAAACAAAACATTACCAAATACCCAATACCAAATAATGCCATCTTTAACCTGAAATAAAAATGAATACTGGTACATTGAAATATGCACCTACAGGTACATGTATAATGATTAGGTTAGAGAATAAACAATTTCAGCATACACTAATGTAATAATCATTATTATCTTTATAATATGGCAAGTCCAAGACATGCACCATATGTTACCAAGTATTACTATTTTGTATTATAGAATTGTGAAAATAAACTGCCATGAAGATGTAATTTTATTTGACTTTTTTTCTTTTGATTTTAGCTCTAGTAGGGCTATCATTTTGATACAGTTATGGTTGACCACATATGGGACAAACTGCATTTCAGCTTTAACTTGCCCACACAAGTATGTCTCTATTCTTGTCCAATAATATACCTGGACTGAAAACAAATGATGGGATAGGGGGTCATATACACCCCTCTCAAAAATACTCTCCACATTCCTAGTCTATTCTAACTAGAAGCATTTACTTAAAGAGAAAGTTGAGTTCTGGGAAGAGGTGAAAACTAATTTGTGAGCATTATTGTTATTATGCATGTGTGGAATAACAACATCAGATGAAATATGTTTCCTGAAAAGCATGGATCTTGAATTCTTCAAATGCTCTCATATTCTAAATATGACATGTAACAACATAAAAATCAGAACAGATTTTTATGCCATCTTTCTGTGTACATGCAGTGTGTACATTGCTTGTAACTTTACCAAGACTGGGCCAATTTCTTATCATTTTGATGATTCCAGAACCTTGCAGTAAACACCAAAACTTATATGCTGGATGATCAACCTTTTCTGATCGATTCCACACCGTTTCTTTCACAATGCAATTGCATGATCAGAACTCAGCTTTATCTTTATGCCATAACATCAGGATAATGCATGATATCAGGTGCAGAATCTTTGGTTTCGCCCTTATCTCTTTCATTCCATATACTACAATCTGGTAAGTCATATCAGGAGGATATTCAATAAGATTTTACAGAGAATCTTTGTTTTCTCTTCTTTTTTCATTAGTATTGCTATGCTCTACAGAAATGGACTCAATTCTCAAGTGATTTGTGCACTTTTTGCTCATGCATGTACAATCTTTAATTCAGAGCATTCTGGATCAACAAATCAAAACAAAACATCACTAAAAGGGGACACTAAACTGCTAGGGGTTAAGAAAGCTGAATACTACATATCAGACATTTAAACAAACTTAATATATTACTTGGTAATGAAGCAGCACAAGAACAATACAATGCTTTCCAGGCAAGTTATTTTGGAGTCAGCTCAAGGATGAGAATATAACAAGGCTTAGTCTAGTGATGCCACACTTGAATTTTGTTGCAAGCTGACTTCTATAGTACAAAACTTAGATACCATCTGAATACAACTTGTGCCAGTCCACATAACTCAGCTGAAATAAAGGCTATAATGAGGTAACTAAGACCTTGACTTCATCAAGTATTCACGTGAATACTGGCCCAGAAATAAATCAAAGGGACGGATATGAAAAAGTACTTTGGTAGCTTCTTCAACCTTGTCTTCAACACTTTTTTTTCAACTTCAGTGTCACTTCATCCTTGAATTCATGAAATGACCTCATTTCATTGACACCATGCTATATCAGGGCCGGTATTCAATTCAGTACTTGCATCAGAAATATGAGTATTTCACTCAAATTTCGTCTTTGATAAAATAATTGGCCAACTTTAGAATTCAGTTGAAGCATTTGGCTCAGTATTTTACATTAAGTTTAAGTTTATTTTGGAGGGCCTAGTTAAGTAGACATTTGGCACAATAATATTAGCGTATTCATGCCACACATTAATGCACATTCTTTTGGATTGACAACGTGAGGTCACAATGCTTATCAGTAAATATATTGCCTTAAAATCAGCTTTCTACAGTATAATACTGACATGAGATGTGAATACGAATCAAGGTATATTACTTATCAAGTAAAACCAAGTAAAGTGCTAAGAAAATTATTGACTTAATCCACGGACCTAAATGAAGATGACAATTGAAGACAATAGAATACAAATATATGGGACTGGCAAAATTCCCCTTGTTATAATAACAGTTTGTTATATCAGTGTTCTTTATAACAAGGTTCCAAGGTATTTAATAGCAGCCTCTGTCTCTTGACTCTCGCTCATCTGCTAAAATAAGTTTCAGATATAAAGTGTTCTAGTTTGTGATAATATAGAATCTTGGTTGATGACCTAGAATTCTCCCTTATCTGCTATAATAAGTTTCTGAGATAAAGTGTTCTAGTTTGTGATAGTAGCGAGTTTTCGCTCAGCGACGGACAGACCTTCTATGATGCGGGAGCCCTCAGGGTTCAGGCCGTCGCACACAGACCGCCCTCGTTACAATTTCTGATATAAGGTTGTTCTAGTTTGTGGTAGTAAGGGATCTTGGTTGGTAACTTTTTCAATTCAATTCCTTTAATTCTGGTTTATTGTAAATAAAAACATGCTGAATAAAAAGTCCAGAGAGTCATACAATTCAGTTTACAAATTATAAATACATACAAGATTATAAGAAATCAATACCTTTAGCAATCTTTATATTAATTACTGATTGTAATTAACTAAACAACTAATATCAAATAATCGTTAAATAATACATATTTCAATTATTCAGTTAAAACATTAAAATAGTTAAATATGTTCTTACCATTTGCTAAATGTCATATTAAATTTTGTCCATACACTTTCAAATTAATTAGTAACCTTTTTTAATCTTTTCTTTTAGAAGCATATTTCTATGTAGATGATTATCACAAGAAATATAATAATACAAAATATTCAAATTATGATAACTTACAGAGTAGTCCTATCAGTAAACTATGAAATCTGATTAAATCTGGTTAATTGGTATGACAAGAAACTAATTACATCTTGATCTAGACACCTGAACATAATATGGTCATAATATTGGGTAGAAATAACAACAGATTTGAGTTCAAGATTTGTGTGAAGTGGGGAATGGGAGACTGCTTGTAACACTCTGTTCTCATTTTGGGAGTATTGAGCTGAAGAGAGTTGCGTAGAGTGTGCCGTGAGATGGTTTGTCTAGCTTCAGGCAAGAGATGGTGGTGGCGGTGTGAGATCACCAGGGATTTAGCAAACTTTTCACAAAGAACAGAGGGTCGTTCAGACAGTCTGACAACACCCAGCGACTGCAGAAGTTGAGCATAAGACATTTTGTCGGGAAATGGACCAGTGATAACGCCCAATACTCTCCTCTGCAGCCGCTCAATGCTGTTTACTTGGACAACAGTTAAACTTGATGACCAAACGGGTATACCAAATTCAAGGCACGGACGAATGTACATCATGTATATCAATACCAAGTCCTGAGTGTTGACACCGTTCCTTTTCAGTTTACTCAGTACATATAGTTTGCGTGATGCATTTTTGACGATGGTTTTATTGCGTTGATCCCATTTAAGATCATCTGGATTGTTATACCACGTAATTTCATGTGAGATACCACTTCAAGCTGAACACCATTGATCTCCAACAGAAGGGCAGGCGGTGCATTGCACAAGAATGAGATCAGCATGGTTCTGCACTTTGTTGGATTTGGCCTCATGTCGTTTATTTCACACCAGTCAACAAGGTAATCAATGTGTGTTTGTAACTGTGGAGGGTTCAACTTCTTGGCAACCTCTACAAGGCTTAGATCATCAGTATATTTCCAGCAGTGTTCTGTTGACAACGCAGCATCATTAACTATTATCAGGAAAATAATGGGTCCTAGTTTAGTTCCCTGAGAAACACCACAAGTGAGGTGAGAAAGATTTGATGTAGCCTCGCGATAACGTTCAGTTTGTGTTTTTTGCGTCAGAAAACTACAAATAGTCGGAAGTATGGAGCTGTGACATGGCTGTGACATGGTTGATATGATCAAAAGCATTGCTGAAATCGATCATGCATAAATTAACATACTTCCCAGATCGGTCGATTCCCAGATGAGCATTATCCAAGAGACTGATTAAGTAATGGCAATTGATGTTCCGGGCATGTCCCCAAACTGTTGGGGACCAATAGCATGGTGTACATCTTCAGTAAAACAGGTAAGGAATCCCTCAAACACTCCTGCTAATACTGACGTGATAGAAATTGGCCTAACTTAGAATTATTTTTCCTTATCTGCTACTATAAGTTTCTGAGATAAGTTGTTCTAGCTTGTGGTAGTAAGGGATCTTGGTGGTTAACTTAGAATCCAGGTCGACTAGGTTACATGCAACATGAAATCTCTGCTCCTTCAATGATACCATGTCATCATCCATGGTACTGCAGTGAGTGAGGAGAGAAGAGTAAGAGAGAGAGAGAGAGAGAGAGAGAGAGAGAGAGAGAGATGGGGGAGACAGACAGACAGAGTGAGAGAGAGAGAGAGAGAGGGGGTGGAGGAAGAGAGGGGAGGGAAGGGAGAGAGAGAGAAAGAGAGAGAGAGAGAGAGAGAGAGAGAGGGGTGGAGGAAGGGAGGGAGGGAGGGGAGAGACAGACAGAGACATACAGAATAACAAGGATGAGAAAGAAAGAGAGTAAATTATTAATTTTAGGCATCATTGAAATTAGGACAACAAAAACAAGTTGAATTTTAATTGGATAATAATAATGCATGGAAGAAATTCTCCTTTTACATGTATCTTCAGTTTGATACACTAAAATATCATGACAAGGACAATCAAAATCAATAAATGGTACATGTCCGAGAAAAGGTTACAGGGACTTGATTTTTACAAATAGGATGCTTCTTCCCAATGTTTCCTGTAGCCTTTATGAAAAGTCACAGAGGTCTAGATTAATACAAAAAAAAAGCTTCTCCCCATGTCTCTTACCTAGAAGGGTCAGCTGGTTTGAAAGTGATCAAGATGGAGCAGTCTCTGGCTGTTCTTGACATCATGTAGGCGTTGAGAAGAGACACACACTCCTGGATAGGTAGACTGGATATCTCATCATCACTCAACCTCTGCTTCACATTGGTTGTCAGGCAAGATGTTAAACATGGATCAGTGATGCGTAATCCCTCCCTGAAGTGGATTAAAATGGAAGCCGATGTCCAGTTTTAGGGAATGCAGAATATCGATTTGTTAACAGGACTGTGGTTAGGAACACATCTAGATATGCGTTGATAATCTTGCTTGACATGGATTAATGTCTTAGAGGAAAAAATACAGGTTCTTTTGTCATATTAGATTGTCAACTTTCTTGATGATTGTTAATATAGAATTTAAGGGTGACCTAGCGTACGCTCCTCAAAGGTGTAAGGTTAGGGTCAAGGATGCAATAGATTTTAAGATAGATTTAGGATTAGCTTTAGGATAAGGTATAGTGTTTGGTCCATTTGATTAGTGTAGGATATTAATGCAGAGCATTTGTTGCATAGGGCAAGAGCCATACAACCAAGTAAAAGACTTACTTCTGCTCCGGATAGTGACTAAGATGCTCCATGTATCTCTGGTATACCTTGTGGATCACATGGATACCATGGGTGTCCATACGTTGCATAGTTAAGATACGCCCAAGGACACAATCCTTGGCTAGTCTGCATGAACTCACTTCTTCATCATGATCTGTGAAACAACCATATATAGTCATGTAATTTGTAACACCTTTTATCCTCCAAGTAGTTTAACACAATATATGAATATGCATCTACAAAAGTTATGAAGAGCATGAACTATGAATGGAGCGTACAGGGAGTCAAGAAAACTCACATTTACATGTAAGTAAATTTGCAGGATGAAGAAGGGGGAAAATGCACACTTTAGTTCCTATAATGCAGGTATTTCTTTTTCATTTCAAAATTCTGTATAATGGTTTGTTGACAAATAATGGGACTCTTTATTCATGTATCAAACAAGAAGTCATTAAGAGAAACAAATTGTGTATTTTTAGGATAGATATAATAACTTCAGATTATTTACATATCACACTTGCCTTGCAATATACTATCAATCAACTTTCATTTCAGAACAAGAAGGAACAAGTTGATAGCTTGAAAAGTCTTAATATGATTGCTGAATTGTGTTGATGAATGGAAAAGTAAACTCACTCAATCCATGTTGTTGACCTTCAAGACATGGTATCCATGGTGATGACCCCTGAGTGATCTCTTGGAATGTTGATGCGTTATCAGATCTACACAGGGCCTGTATCACAAGACTTATTACATCTTGAATACATGCACTGTAAGGGAATGTAAAGAGTGTAGACCTTGATCATTTTGATGTATTTTGACAAATAAGGCCTCGTTCAGGTATGCCCCAGCAAAACGGCATTTTTAAAATGATCGTAAAGTGTAATAACTGTCACCCTTGTGTACATGTATCTCATGATACTGAGCTTAGTGAATAGGAACTTTGTTACGTGCAGTTACCATTCATTTGAACAGGTCATTTAAACACTGTGAACAGGGCTCAAGCAATAGACAACATATCAAGTGTAGAGTGGTGACCAGGGCTCAAGCAATAGACAACATATCAAGTGTAGAGTGGTGACCAGGGCTCAAGCAATAGACAACATATCAAGTGTAGAGTGGTGACCAGGGCTCAAGCAATAGACAACATATCAAGTGTAGAGTGGTGACCAGGGCTCAAGCAATAGACAACATATCAAGTGTAGAGTGGTGAACAGGGCTCAAGCAATAGACAACATATCAAGTGTAGAGTGTACTTCTACATACTTATTTCTTTGTAGATTCATATGATTACTCTTAATGCTAATGTTTTATTGACTCTATCACCCATATGTATACAACATAAACAATGATACAATTTAAAATTCAAGATGACAATGGCAAGAATTGGTAAACAATAGTAATCTCATTCAACAAAAATAAAACATGAAAAATGAATGATAACAGACACTGTGCTGGATTAACAGCTTGGTCACTGCTCAATCAAACATTGAATAAAATGACTCCCCGCCCATATATGATTGAAATATCCGTGTTAGTATTTCCTTTGGAATACTAAAACTTCATTTGCTTATATCGCAGATTTACAAAGATTTATCTATCAGTCTGAAACCAGCTAAAATAATGCTTCGTTTTAGTCAAATATTTCATATTTTACAACTGCTATGTGCAAATTTGGACAAGGTTTATCATTTCAGAGATAGAGCCACAAAACAATTGTTAAATCATAAAGACATTACCTTTTCGAGAAAGTATGAGGTACATGTGGACGAGTATTATCTGAAGACAGAGAACCCTCTTCACATTCAAACCAACTTTGTATTGCCATGGTAATATCTTCTTGATCATCCTGGGAGGGTAAAGACTTGTCTTCTCTTGGATAAATTATCTCACCATCCTGTATCAAGACAAAAGGGAAATAAATAATTGCCATGATAGGCAGGCCAAGAAACATTTGGCTGAACAGCAAAGAAAGAAATACTGCAGGCATGACTGATGACAAAAGAGAAGAATGAATGTATCAACTAAATACTTGTTGCACATGGTGATCATACTAAGTACTGCAACTGCAAAGGGCAGGGGTGATAGTGAGCACTAAAAAAAAAAAAGTTTTTTTGTTTTCCCTTCAACCACGCCCCCCTTGAGTAAACAAAAAGAAGAGGATTCGCAGGGAAAAAATGGCATCTAACAACATTCCCCCTTTCGAGTAAGAAAATTGGGGAAAAAATAGGGCAAAATAGGGAAGAATAGAGAAAATAAGGGGGGAATCGGGAAAATCAGGATAAAATAGGGAAGGGGAAAAAAATCTGGTAAAAAAAAAAAAAAAAAAAAAAAAAAAAAACTGTTTTTTTTGATGTTTTTTTTAAAATCGGGAAGAAAAACAAATCGGGAAAAAATCGGGAAAAATAAAAAAAAAATCGGATTTTTATCAGGCCTGAAAGGGAAACATTTCAACAATGACATACCTTGAAGATGCACAAGTTGTTTTGTGGTGTTTTGAACAAGCTTTCCAGTGCATGCCTCATTCTCTCTGGAACTCTGTCAAAATACAAGTAAACAAACCATTGATTCTACGTATCAATCCTATATAGGTATTCCCAACCAAACCTGGGATGTTTGCTCCAGTAAGACTACATGTACCATACTGTCAATGAGATATATTTTGAAAAACATGCCCTCCATTCCCATAGTGCAAGGGCCCCATATAACTGGTAAAAATAAAGTAGAGTTCTATGTCCACAGCATTTTTTTAATTTTCTTATTCTTTATATTATTATATCATGCAGAGACTGTAATCAACAATTTTTTTGAAATCCAACAGGTTTAATCAGATGCATGTAATTTAGTGTAACCAAGAATTCTTCTTGCATCGCACGGTCATGGGGGAATTCAGTTTGTTGCACATTTTTGTAACCACTGATGCACCAACCAATTTATAATCTTACCCTGAGAAGAGATCGATAGGACAATATTTGCTTGTGTAGTCCCATACACCTCTTTTCCTCTGAAACGTAAAAGAGATAAGATGTTATGTTAAGACTATGAACGGAAGTTAGTTTTTACTGTACCTTGGATGAATAACACTGTATGTGTAGATTAGCAACATGTACTATTAGAGCATTCAGTCCTTTTCAGTAGACTCACTCAAGTAGAATGAGTTCTTTATGTTATACAATTGCAACAAAGCAATTGCATTTTTGCTTTAAAGTAGATATTCATTGATTTTAAATCTAGCTTTATTTTCATTATTGCAAAGTTGAAACTTTGATTCGACAAGGTTATCAAAATTCAATGCTTGGAAACATTCGAAGTAATGATTATTATAAATTACAAAACGCTTAAATACAGCCCCGGCATAGCACCTGAATAGCTCTCCGAACGCTGCTGAGATGTGTGAGATCATAGCAGGGACATGATTTGCACAAGCAGACGATGTACCATGACATCTCACACATTTTCAGTGCCTGTATTTTCATCTTCTCTTGAGTTCTTTCTCTTACTTCACTACCGCCAGGCTAAATGTATAATCTATTGCCTCACTCTAAACCCGCGCATGGTTTTATTTTGATGACAAATGCAGCGATACAAAAATAAAGGAATCTGTCGCTTGTAAACAAAATAAGACGCCATTGTATATTCAGCTGCAGACACCGCGGTATGTTCGGCGTTTTAAGAGGGAACAAATGCTGTCCTTAATATCAATCCGGGGGCTTTTCAATTTGAAAGGCTGGTTTCTTTGATTGTTAATTACCCCTATCCTGTGTATTTACAAGCATAAGATTTTAGTTATCAGAATCGGGTCATGTCCCCTTTTGATCGGTTTGACGTGCCAGTACATTTATATACACTAAACTCATTATAATTTGACAAATAATAGCTTTGCAATTATGTTCATTCTTTATGGGATGTCGTCTGCTTGGGCAGTATTGGTCCCTGTTGTGACGTCATTAAAACATCGTTATTTTCTGGCGAATCTCTCGTATATCCCAGCTGCTATGGAGGTGGTTGTATTTTTATTTTTATAAATCACCCGATATGTAGCTGACCTCAAACTTGTACGATGGCCATCTGTTAGCTTACCAGTTTCTAGTGATACATTAGTTGACATATTTGTGATTTTCTTTGAATTTCACCTTTAAAGGCAAATACTGAGCCATTGATATGAAACAAGATTTGCTGAATATTAGTATTGTGTTCAGCGAGAAAAACAAGCCTATCTGACTCCCCCCCCCCCCCAAAAAAAAAGATAATGGTAATAACTACCATAAAGCTGGTAGAAATCAAAATCTACTGGTAAATATTTTTTATAGAGAACCAAATTGAAAACAAACAAAACTTCAGACAATTCAAAAGACATAAATCTAAGTAAAATCACTGTTGAGGTAAATATTTTAAGTGAAAAATATCAGACAATAGGCTTCATAATTATTTGTTGATTCAAAGAGATATGAATAGTCTTATATTTCAAACCTTCAGTATTTGTTGCATACAAAACAAGCACACTAGTTGATCTTCAATCTCTATAGATGGTAGATGATGGGTGAGTATATAACCACGCTTGGGCTAAAGAAAAGAAAGAACAAAATTACATTACTGGCATATTAACATTTTAGGACTAATAATAATCACTACTGCTTTAAAAAATAGATTCTTTAATTTGTTTGGCTAAGCAATCCATAAAACTCCTTTACATTGTAATATGAAATACGAGCAATTGCAATATTTTGATGGTGATGAGGATGACAAAAATATGTAATAACCTAACATTTTCGTAGGAGAATGTTTAAAATAATTTGATCAATAGAAATGAATAGGATAAATGCAATCTAATACACTGTTAAAATTAGATATAAAAATAATAAGTACTTCTATTGTCTTTCGTTTATATTTTCAGTGTCATATCCTAAAACCTACACAAGATTACATAGAAATCAAAAGGCTGCTAGAAAACCTTGCCTTCCATAGGCTTTGTACACGTGATTCAATCATTAGATATGGCTTGAGGACAGACTCTACTACACCATCGCCAATTACATGTAGATATCTTTTATTCAATATTATGGATAAGCAAGTTTTAGTATCAAACTGAACAAATAAATGTTGATAGAGGGATATATATGTACAATGTACATAACCGAAATTGGTAGACTTGTACCTTCAATTCGATAGTAAGCGTTGATCTTCCTTTCTGTCCAATGTTATCTAAAAAGCAGAAGTTTGGCGAGCAGAGCACCGACGTCTGATAGGGGTCAATGACCTGGTGGCATCTTTTCAATGGTCTTTGACTCTCAAATGCCTTGCTCACTGAATCAATGAAATGTGGACTGACCGAAATACATTTCTGTGTTCACAAGAGAGAGAGAGAGAGAGAGAGAGAGAGAGAGAGAGAAATCATATACCGGTAAGTCACATCCTCTTTAAAATCTAGAAAAAATTTGGTTACCATAATGCCAATTTTCATTTATTCTGTTCCGTTCCTAATGCAAACACTGTGAATTCAAATTATTATCTCAAACATGAGCATTATTAAGAGTAATTATACAGCTCAGCTATACAGCTGTGACAGAGGAGACTACAAGGTCTAGATTATCTCTTTCATTTAGATCTTGTTAGGTTATGACAGTAAATATCTTTATAGACATTGTTTCTCTTAATACAAGGAAACTTTATTGTAACATGGAACCCCTTACACCAAGATCAAAACCTAGCTGTTTTGGTGATTGGTGCTATGAACTGGTACATCTTAATATTTTAAATTCGCCCTTACTGGAATACTGGAATAACTCCCCAAGGCAGGTTGAAGGCAATTCTTGATGTAGTTGATTTTCGCCCAACACTCCTCTTTCCGAGAATTCTGGAGAAAATAGAGATGGTGAAATATCGATTGTTACAGTTCAAGTTTTGACGATTAGTACATGCATAAAAAACCCTCAAAAAAAGTTTAGAAACTTAGGTATGATTGATAACATCTCTTTTTTCATGGCATAATCATAATCGGAAGGAGCAAACACCCACTGTTTTTTATGGGTATTTCCAGGAGTGTAAATGACGGTCCCAAAAATTAATGACTTTTCAAAATGGTGTTTCTTCATCAAAAGATGAAGTGCCTTTATCAAGTGAAACAGAAACAACACTGAATACTTTTTAGTCACTGAGGCAATTATTTCAAAAATGTCACGATTTATATGTCAATGTAGCAGTAAATATAGTACCTTCTCTAAGGCATCTTTGGCATCTTGCTTCCACAGCTGATAAACAATGTGCTTCTGCGATCATGAATAAAAAAGAAAATTAAATACAATGTCATTATTTGTAACATTACTTTTTTTAAATTAAAATTATTTTAAATCACAACCCTGGTTTGTATTAAAGGTAGAAATAAAGTATTTGATACATCATTTATACACCAAAACACAAATAAATAATACACAATTTTTTAGAAGTTGTGATCAAAAGTTACCAAGGGTACTAAATGTTTACATGTATCAATTCTCATGCAGTCTCACCTTCTTATGGCCGATAACAAATGATGAATTTCCCTCCTTAATGTATCTCCAGAATCTGACGTCATCATTCTCCTCTTCTTCTACACCATTAGAATCCATAGTCCCATCCATTTATATGCTTTCCTGATGTTGTATCACCTTCTAAAAATCCACATGCTTCCTACTGCTAATGGGCCTGAAATTAGGACAGAAATAATAAAAGTATGTATGGCATGTAAAAACAGCGTTTAAGTTGCGTCATTAGGTTTAAAACATGTATAATTACAATTCTATGCAAGAGATTGTTGAAATGTTCAATCACAGTTCACATCAGACACCTTTATAAGTTTAGGGTCTAATTAAGCTACAGAATTATTTTTTTGTCATTCATCTTCTGATCTTGTTATATAAGCATGTTGTTTTACCTCAATATGCCCTGTCTTCTCTTCTATCTTCTTACTGTACAGTTTTCTTTGAAGAACTATCCTCATTTCTCTCTCTCTTCAGTATTGTATCATTAGTGGCTAAATCCCTCTTATGGATACATCAGGGGTGATAGTGAGCACTATAAAAAAAAAAAGGTTTTTGTTTTCCCCCTCAACCATGCCCCCCTTGAGTAAAAAAAAAAGAAGAGGATTCACTGGGAAAAAAATGGCATCTAACAACATTCCCCCCTTTCGAGTAAGAAAATTTGTGAAAAAATAGGGCAAAATAGGGAAGAATAGAGAAAATTAGGGGGGAATCGGGAAAATCAGGATAAAATAGGGAAGAAAAAAAAATTGGTAGAAAACAAAAAATCCTGATTTTTTTTTTTTTTTTTTTTAAATCGGGATGAAAAAAAAAATCGGGAAAAAATCAGGAAACCGATTTAAATCAGGTTTTTATCAGGCCTGATACATGTACCTTCCATTCTTATTCACAACCAAAGACTCTCAGGCATTGCGTTTGCACCCTGTGAGAGAGAGAGGGGGGGGGGGGGGATTAGGGAGTCCTGAAAAGGACTGTCAGTATAATCTTTCTTTCTTGAGTGTGTGTAGTCCTTAAAAAGGACTGTTGGTAGTCTTGAAAAAGTCTGTTGGTATTCTTTCTTACTTTATAGTTCTAACTATATACGGTTGGAGCTGATGGGTAGTAGGAGTGGCCGCTCTTTTATATTTTTGACCATGGAGTAAATACATTTTGTGTTAATCAACAACATTTAAAATAAATATTCAGTACTAAATAAGGATGAGCTGAGATGACAACACAAGCTCCCTACGGTGTAAATTCAGTTGTATGTATTTAAAAAAAAAATGTATATATGTGCATATATTAATAAAAAATTATTAAACTCAGGCATTTTTTTCATGAATACCATTTCATACCAATTAAGTCTCTCAAAGGGAAACATATTAATAAAGAAATCAAAATGCAAAGGACATTCCCCTAGTAGAGTCCTTGGACTGTGTACAGTGTAGATTAGCTGATTGCACAGCTCTAGCATTAGTATATATATGAATGAACATATAGATGTTTAGACATGCAGTGTAGGCCATATGTTACTGCAGCACACTTAGACAGCTAGGTCTATACATACTTCTGTCATACTAGGCACAGCATCATTCAAACGGTCTATCCATGATGGGGAATCCTATTCAACTCTTCTCTGTAACAGGCCTGTTCTACCTTCCTTTTTTCCTTCTTGGATACATGAAAGGCAATGTCATTCTCCTCATGGCCCTGGTCTTCAAGGGACCACGATGGATCTTTAATCGCAAGACCAGGAACTTACGACCAGCCTGCATGGAGGACACGCAACTAGGCACCCACAAATTTGTTACTGTCAAGGTAAGTCTATATTTGTTCTTACCAGCTTTTGGTCAACCACAAAACAAACAGGTATATATAGTCACAGTCAACTTTTCCTACGCATATTACAGTGTACATGCAGCATTTAGTCCAGATGCAATGTAAGTCAGGGCTTACATCGAAAGGGTGCGATAAAAGCCCCCCCCCCCCCCCCCCCCCCCCCCCCCCCCCCGCTTTTCTCGAAAGGGTGCGTTGAGAACGGAGTACCGTCTCAACACACCCTTTCGAGAAAAGAGGGGGGTCTTTTCTCGAAAGGGTGCGTTGACTAGTCTTTCACATCAGTCGCTTAAAATGTTTAAGGAATAGAAATGTAGTTTGATAAATTAAAATAATCAAAATTGAAACTACTTTTTGCATAGTCTTGCAGTTAAGGCATTTATAAGAATTAAATCAGTAAATAAAAAGAAACACAATGAAATAATTAACTTAGATATTTAAAAAATGTCAAATATAGGTGTTTAGCTAGTCTTGCATATCAGTCGTTTATTTATTGAAATAAAAAAAAATATCCATTTCCTTTTTTGCATGGAATTCAGTTTTTAAATGTTAGCTAGTCTTGCATAACTGTCGTTAAATTACAAATAAAAATTAATATGTATTAATACGTATGCAGTGTATGATCTAAAGTGCTGTCTGCATGTCATTTGTACATGCATAAATGCACAGAAATCATGCTAATATCCTATTGGCTGCATGTACAATCTGCTTCTCAACAAAATCTACTTTTAACTCTTTATTTGCTATGGATTAAAATTGAAACCCAGGACTGCATGCCAGAGGAATATTATGCAAGATGTACACTGATCATGTGCCAAACTTTGACTATGGTAGTCCAATTTGTTCCAATTGGCGAACATGCAAAGCCAGTAAAAAGTTAAATGATTTGCCTTTGGCTCAAGAGGATATCTATCCGAAAATATTAATTTATGCAGATGTATTTTCTTCCAAATAAGTGACTCTAGTATAGAAAGAACAAATAATATTTGTCTCTTGTCATCTTCTTTATGCTTCAGGATATCACACTACATGTGGTAGAGTCAGGTGACCCTAAGAATCCTTTGATGTTATTCCTCCATGGCTTCCCTGAATGTTGGTATTCATGGAGACATCAAATCAGAGCATTCAACAAAGAGTATCAGTGAGTATACCTTCGCAGCGATTGTACTAATAGTTAAGAGAAAGTACAAGTAAAATCTGCATACATTGTAGATCCTAAATGTATGTACAGAAACTACAGAGCTGAAGCACAATAACCACATTTATTGACTATCAATGTAATGATAACCCAAAGAACTTTTAATCTCCATAATATACCCTATAATAGATTATTACAGAAAGTAATGTTACATCAAAATACATGTTGCACTTTAATAAAATGCTATGTAGTAATCATAATTCCAATAGGATTCATTTGTTCCTTTGATTTTGAAGCATGTCTGATAAATGAATTCATTTTTTTCCTTCAATACCATAAATAATTTTAATGAGATATTTCTATTTCTCTGATATGTCATATAGCTCTGCAAATATGTTGTTCTGGATGTACATGTATTTCTACTCTCTCTCTCTCTCTCTCTCTCTCCCTATGTCTTGTTTACTACACATACAAAACGGTAATATGCTTTTACAGTACTCTGGCCTTTACTTTACTTTTTCATTTGTTTAGTTGTGTATCGTTTGACATGAGAGGAGCTGGTGAGTCAGATGCCCCACTATCTAAGAAGTTCTATGGCCTTGATCAACTCACTGGTAAATAATAATAATTTTCACTTCAGTGGCACTAAACATATTCAGTGCTCTTGGTGGCAAATCCTGCCCTAACAATTTTTGTTTGGACTAAAAAGCTGTCTTTACCCCCTGAAATTTAAAAAAGATGGATTGTGATACCGGTAATTGATGACTGCATCATATGGATGACATACTCTGTTCAAATAAAAATACATAATTGTCAACTTTTGCTATTTGAAGGCTTAGTATGGGCTATATTGTGTAAAGTTATTAGATTGTAAAGATTAAGATCAAAATAATGTCAGTGCTTATTCATTTCTAATTCCTATCAAAACAGGGGAGACATTCGTAGTTGATACAGGTTATGGGTCATACATGTACATGCAAGTCCTGAACCTATCTAGCTTATGATTGGGGTGGTAGAATGATTGTATCAACTTTCATTTTCCTGTCTAATTAACAGGACACATTCAGGAGCTGATATAATATTATGGGTCATAAGTCATCATGATTAAGGTAGAATGATTGTGAATATTATTAACTTTCATTTATAACCTTTCATTCCTTTCTATCTTAAAAGGAGACATTCATGAGCTGCTTCGTGTTATGGGTCATAAGTCCTGTATCTTGGTAGGACACGACTGGGGTGGTATGATCGGCTGGGACTTTGCTTCTCGCTACCCAGAGATGGTAGATAAACTGGTCGTTGTCAATGCTGCCCATCCCCATAAGTTCAGTGAACTTTTTCAAAGCTACTTCTTACCACAGCTGTGGCGCTCCTGGTAATCAATTCTAGTCAATGTTTTTGAAATTGGGGACAAAGTATTTTGTGTGATTTTAAAGTCACACGCACACATTTTCTTATGCCTTCTACAATCATATATGGTTTTCACTACTTTTCCACTGGTATACACATGTAGTTCTGTGTCCTCCAATCTGGAGGATTATTGCAAAAGTTGAGTTCAGAGAGATAGATTTTGTAGTATAATGATAATTGTGCATTTTGAGGTTCTGGAGTCATCACAATATTTAGGTATTGACTCAATCTTGCTGAGAGTCATAGAGTGAAAAGCACTAAACACAGAAATGGATATATATATATGAGACCATGCATGCACACATCTGGTATGAAGGTTTGGTCCAACATTTTCAGCTAATAAATGTAGTCATATTCCAAAATGGTATTTTAAGAGCAATCTTTTCTTTTTTCTATGTTGGGACATTTGGGATATTTTTAAAAGCTCAGTTTATTTTTCACTCTTAACAGAACTCAACCTTCTCTTTAAATGAAATGATAGGTTTGTGATCAAAATGTTGAACGCGCATCCTTTTCACACACAGCTAAAATTCATCGTATCTAGAGATGATTAGAATCACTCAACAGTTTTAAACATGTTTATAGACAAAATTTCCCAGTGTGAACATCGTTTATACGATGTTGGGATAGATACGAAGTCGCGATCCATACGCCCCTAAAAGCAGGCTGCAGATACGAAGTTCGTATCTAGAGAGCTTGACATTTTGTGTGTGAAAGGAAATTCGTGTTTAAACGTGTTTAAACTGGATGGAGCGTGCGCTTTGATTGATATGACATGACCTTCAATGCGCAATGGCACTACTGCGCATTTTACGAGCAGTAGTTAATCACGAAACTATTAACGATCGCAACAAAATTTCTGTGTGTGAAAGGCTCGTGATTAGTTTAAACACATTCGAAACACGTTTATACTAATCATGTTTATAGAATTTTAGCTGTGTGTGAAAAGGCTGATAATCCTTCAGAGTATATAGCTTAAATTCAGCTTGCTTTCAAAACTTGATTTTTCATAAAGATTTGAAACAGGAGAGGCACCAAGCCGTTTCAGATTAGAAAATTGTTCAGGTGTGTATCAGCATATGAATATTGGATCAAGACTTCTTTCAATGTTCTGTCAGTCTACAAATACCTATCCAGAATGTGACAAGATCTTGGATGTTCTCCCATTCCCTTCCATGCAGGTACGTATTTTTCTTTCAGCTGCCATACCTGCCTGAGCTGTTGCTTTCCATGGGTGATTACACGTTACTAGACAAACAGTGTATGAAGGGCCCTGCAACCAAGGAAGATATAGAAGCCTTCAAATTTGCTCTTTCAAGACCAGGCAAGTATCTAACTCTATGTACCTTCTACACATCAACTTACATCAATAACCACAACTTTTAATGAGTTACATATCTTATAACAAAGAAAACGGTTTCTACAAGATAGCATGTATGGGCTAATTTCTTGAAACCATCTTACATGTACATGTAAGTCTAAAGTCTAAGTCCAAGTTCTAAGTTCTATGACAGTAATGACAAAGTGGCCTACAATTTTTGCATCAATCCCATGAAAAAATAAGTACTACAAATTTTTAAAATGTAATCCCACATACCTATCGCTGTTGAGGCTGAGGAGTAAGAAGGAAATGCAAAATTGTATTCAAATGTTAAAAGTTGGTAACATTAAAGGTAAAGACCAGTTGTGGTCATGCGATTGCATTGTGAAAGAAACGTTGTGGAATCGATCAGAAAAGGTTGATCATCTAGCATTGGTGTGTACTGCAAGGTTCTGGAATCATCAAAATGATAAGAAATTTGGCCCAGTCTTCGTAAAGTTACAAGCACTGTACACAGAAAGATGTATATGGGACTATATGCACACGTGCACGACACGTGCGTTTATCTCTCACAGACCATGGATAAACTAATTTACCAAATATATCAATTAGTAGGTGGTTTCCCGGCAAATTTTTTATCATCATGTATTAGTCAATACAAATTCTTTCACATGATTGATAATGAGAGCTTCCATTTCATTTTTTGAAATTGGGGCGTTTCCAATACTGGTCTTTACCTTTAAGTCATATTTTTCTTTGATGCACATATACGTTAAGGCTCACAATATACACAGGGCTAGAGCCATGATTTCAATGCTTTAATTTTGGATCTAATTGATATACAAATGTATTAAACTCTATTCCCGAATATGCTCAAAATGAGTAGCAAATACCTGAATACAAAAACAATACCTAACTAAATTTTGGTGAATGAATGAATCCTAATCTCAAACACAATTTTCTACTTTATATTACTCAATGGATTATGATGTTATTATTATTACAATATATTCTTATATTGATGATTTTTCTTTTGATGTGATACAATCTGTAGTTATTATAATGTGACTAATTTTGTTTAATCACTCAGTGAAACAAACAGCTCTTGAGCTGCATGTCCTGTTCCTTTTCAATAAACCTATTCCAATCAGTTCAGTTCAATTAAACTAGTCCTTGACAAAGGGAGAAATCAAAGAAATTTCTTTGCTATTCTGTCACTACATAAAGGGCGAGTCACAACATTCCTCAACTACTACAGAAATGCAGCGCATCAGTTTTTCCAAGGAACAAGCCTCGTCCGTAATGCCCCTACGCTTCTCATTTGGAGCACAGCACACTATGCTCTGCATAACAAACTAGTGGATGGAACAGAAAGATTCGCTCCTAAACTAACCATAGAGAGAGTAGAAAAAGGTGACATGTTGGTGCACCAGGAACAGCCTGATCTAGTCAATGGACTCATGAAAAAGTATCTTGCAGAATAAATTTAATTTTTCTATCTATTTCTTCCCTCATTTCCATGTGTAACTTTTTGTATGTTTTTGTAGAATCTGCCTTGCATGGACCATTGATAAGCTGGTCAAGTCCTAAGCTTTCCTTAATGATTCCTTCTTTTTTAAAATTTATGCTATAAAAAATGCCGATATGTGAATATTATCTCAGTCTGTAATGTTGAATAATCAAAAAGAAAAAAAAGAAAAAAAAATGATCTTGTTATATGTTAATCATGTGAAAGCAACATGAGAGAGCCTACAGATTACAGAAGTCCATGAAATGTTAATTGAGTAAAATGTGTAAAATGGTAATTATACAAAAGAATTGGAAAGGGCCTAATAGTAAATGTGATCACATTTATGCTATCTAGATACCTAATTTTGTTGTAAATCAAAGAAATTTTAGAATGAAAACATGTACCGTAAATAAATTTAACATACTTTGGTCCAAATTAAATTGTTTATTTTTAGCACAAATTGTTATTAAATTAAGCAGAAATGTTACTTATAGCTTCATTAAAATAATAATTTTGTATGACGGACGCACCTAACAAGATTTAAAAAAACTCTAATTCATATTCAGTTGCAGCTGCCTGATATCTGAACATGTGTATTGCTCTTTTGACTTCAATGCCTGGGTATGTAGGTATACTAATCTGATTAAGATGATGACCTAAAGAGCTTTTTTGAATTGAAGTAAAATTGATCTTTGTACCACTTGTCTCTATTATCATACTAGAGTGTTTGATGGTAATATAAGGACAGTGTGAGAGAGATACAATATATTTAAAGGTGATTACTACATGAGAAGCGATGCATGCATTGGCGGATCCAGGGGTGGGCCGAAACGGCCGAGCCCCCCCCCCCCCCCCTATTGGCGGCGCCAAAAAATTGAGAAGGAAAAAAAGAGGAAGAAAAGAAGAGAAGAAGAAAGGAGAAAAAAAAAAAAAAATAAGAAAAAAGAGAAAACGAAGAGAGAGAGTTCAAAAAAGAGAAAAGAAAAACAAGAGAGCAGCCGGGGAGAAAGAAAGACAACGAAATGGCACTAAGTGACAGTAACAACGAATAAGGGCAAGACTGGGGGGGGGGGTGTGCGTATGTGAAATGCGGGTGCATGTAGGGGGAGGGGTGACTGACCGTATTCTAATTTTTAGGTTATGCTAAACTGAGTCGGAATTATGCTTATTTTCAAAAATTCTTAAAATGCTTGTTTATGTTAAGCCGTAGTGCATGAAAAGGTTAGTATAAAAACACTTCTGAAAATGCCGCGCCCAGCCAAAGAGTGGCAGAATGGTAATCTAGAAATTTTCGGGTCATTCTCGAAGGCTTGGGAGCCGTTATTGAAGAGGTGGCCGGCCATATATGTAAATGGCAGTGAAGGTAACGATGGATAAGGGAATAAGGAGGAAGGGGTGCACATGACATTGTGAACTGCAAGCGTATTGGGGATGATCATCCTTTCGTTTTAGGTTGTGCAATCTGGATCGGAATCCAGCATAATATTTTTTTTTTTAAATTAAAAATTAAAAAAAATGTTCATGCAAAAGAATTCAACATATAGCATCGCCCGGCCCCTACAAAGAGAAGCAGATTGTACTCAGGGGATTGGGGGGGCGTGGGAGACGTTATTGAATAGAGGGGGCCGGCCGTATGAATCCCGAGCCGCCGATTCGAAGTTAAACTTTAAAAACAGCCCCTGCGCTACAAAAGTCATCACTCTTTGGTAAAAAATTGGAGGAGGGCACATTGTTTTGGATGTCTTAATACAGGATGGGGTTGGAGCCTTTCTTTCCTTGAAAATTTAAAAAGAACCAAGATGCCCGAATATGCATGTTATCTCATACATTTTGGTGATAAATAACACTTTCACAACCAGAAAATTGATATTCGGGCAAGAGGCTTCAAAAACAATATCAAAAATTTTGCAAGCGCGCGAGCATAACTTAAAAACAGGATATGTTGATATCTGACAAGAGACGGACGTGAGCCTGCCCCCCTTCCAAAATTTTGCTTGCTTATAGGAACCGGCACGGTGCTTCTAATATAACCTTGTCAGTATTGATATGTTCAGATTCAATTCATATTTATTTCATTTCCAACAGAAAGACAAACAAAGGTATTGCATATATTATTACAGAAAGTTTTAAAAAATGTATGTACATAATTCATTTTTTCTGTGTAACTATACAAATACACTTTACACATAATAAAATGATTACAAGAATTTCTTAATTTCTGAGGAAATGGGGGGATCCACTACAAAAAGGAGGTCTTGTAGTTTGTGGATCCCCCAGAAAAAAAATAACATTGTTTCAGATGAAATAACGGTCTGCGTGATTTTCAAATTTCCAGCCCCCCCCCCCCCCCCCTATTGGAAAATCCTGGATCCCTGCTGGCATGCATTCAAAGGTTCACCTTGTATTAACAGTACCATGCAGATATCTGTTATAGATATAAGGTCAATAAAAACACAATAGCTAAATCACTACTGTGTGGGAGATTTTTCTTTTACCTGGTACACATACACATATGGTTGTCCATTAACCATAAAACTGTTGACTTTAAGTGTATGAGGGATTGCATTGAGTGACGTGGATTAAGAGGCAGTATATTGATACTCACACGGATACACAAAAGGAACAGGTTAGTTTTCAGACTGTCAACAACTTATATTTCATAGAAGGCATATAATTCTTGTCACTCCAGAAGATCCTAAACACATCGGCCCGAATTCACAAAGCAAGGCTTGAGCTCAGACCAAGGTTTGAGCTCAAACCTCCTTTTGTTTCGCCAAACCTCCTTTTGTTCTTTACAAACCAGGTTTGTAAAAAACGCGTAAAACGCGTCATATGACATACGAAAACCAAGGTTTGTCGACAAACTTCCTTTGTGAATTCGGGCCATCAAGAGGAAGCTCACCTAAATGTAACAAAACATGCCTGTCTGCCATGGAAAGACCTACAGGGGACAGTTCAAAAGGGTTTCTAAAAAAGCTACTGCAAACTGTTTTCTATCTTCAGTCAGTCTGTGATTATAGAATAGACTTCAAATTTTGTCTTAAGTTGGGTGATAGAAATAATAAATAATTTTTTTTTTGCTAAATCTAATCTCTTGTCAATCTAGATATATTATTAAAGTAGCAATCCTACTGCTCTTTGCAAACAACAAATGTATTAACTTTAAGTCTTTATCCATATTAATTTTTTTTGTTAAACCCTCCTAGCAACTGACCACATCTGGTTTTTTAATTCCTGTCAACAAGATTCCTGCCAACCAAAACTCCTTAAGATATGAAACTTTACCATATCTTTGACCCCTAGAGAGCAACAATGGGCATGTTAAAGTATCCCTGCATCAGGACCCTATGCTATCTACCAGTCTACATCTTGGGCATCCCTATAGTTCTCTTGATGGTCTTGAAAGGATTGTTCTATAATGGCCCACGCTGGCTGTTCTATGAGAAGGAAAGACGGGAGAGACCAGCTTGCATGCAAGACCCACAGCTTGGAACTCATAAATTTGTTCAAGTGAAGGCAAGTGTCTATCGATCATCATGGAGGTTTTATAGCTCAAAATGTACTAGTATAAACCTGTAACAGACATACAGGATATGTGATTAGAAGACATGACACTCAACCCCTTATTTTCAATTCTCATGCAATGTCAATTTGATACCACTTTGCTGTTAAAATGTACATGTTGCTGAGAAAAGGGTGTTACTAGTAGCTGAGAGTGGATTTCACTTTTACAACAGATAGGTCTTCCGTAATGCATGCACTCAAGTTCCTTCAACTTCAGAAGAACCTCATAGTACGTAAAGTCATCATAAATTCTGCATCTGAAGAGTGACTGAATGCTTTGTAATATCTTGCAGGTCCCAAATAATTTCTGTGTTGGCCATCGGTTTCGATATGAGCAAGATTTTTACAAATATTAATTGGTAATACCATCAAGTCCAGTATATGAACTATGATGCAATGCACAATTGCACATGGAGACTACCAAAAGTTTGTCTTGAGGACCATATCTGAAATTTAAATATTTTTACTAAAAGAGTATTTTATTGCTATATTCACCCATACAAGTGACAGAGCTTGCCGTTTGTACTACTTGTGATGAAAGTCCTCAGGTTCTACTTGATGTGTCGATCACTTCTGAGTGCGAGAATCTTTCATCAGAAGTATTATTATTGTTCAATCTCCATGATACAGAACTTAAAGCTGCATGTGGTAGAGTCTGGAGATGCTAAGAATCCTTTGATGTTATTCCTCCATGGCTTCCCTGAATGTTGGTATTCATGGAGACATCAGATCAGAGCATTTAACAAAGATTATCAGTGAGTATAACCGTGGCTGAAACTCAGTCCCAAAGCAAATTTTCAAGGATTAATCCAAACATCTGCAAAGCCGATGTGCAAGGGCTTTTTCAAGTAAATAGTTTCATTTCAACCCTCCCCCCAACTATATTGACCTAAATCATAACAATTAAATAATTTACTTGCCAATTGGCAAACAATTATTACCAGAAAGGGGACATTTAATAGTTTCACATTTTATTTCTGTTTTAAATGTATCATAAGTGCAGACTGTGCGAAAAAAGGCATTTAGGCAGAAGCTTTTTTACATCCTAGTATTGCATGTGATTTTCATCTCTACTCAGCTGTGTAGCATTTGACATGAGAGGTGTAGGTGAATCAGATGGCCCTCCAGGAAAGAGAAATTATACTTCTGACCTAATTACAGGTGAGCTTCCCTGGCCTTTCATTCAGCACACTTTCATTCCTATTCATATGTCTAACGATAAGTCATTTAAACTTGTATTGTAGTGTCAGTTTGTAACTCCAAATAGTAAACTTTTACTAATGGGTGTTATAAATGTATGTATCATGTGCAATTCTGAGGTAGCATTCTCATAATGATTAAAATACATCTGCTAAAGCCATATTGCCTAGAGATACATGAATGTTGCTCATATAAAGAGCTCATTAAAATATAATGTTCAATAGAATTTGTTATTTTTTTCCTTCAAATTGTACCTCACGAAGGGGAGATATTTTGGAAATGATCACAATCAAACTTTAAACTTTATATAGCATACAATCTTTATTTAGAGGATGTCATCATCTGGAGCCAGAAGGGCTAAAGCGTACATGAGGAAACACCCTTCTGGCTCTGAGTATAAGATACCTTAAAAATCTGTAGACATGTATTCACTCACAGCAGAGACATTTCAAAAGTATTTATTTCTCTTTTTACAAACACTAATCTGTTTCTTTGTTTGTCTTCATGTCCAGGTGATGTATGTGAACTAATCCAGGTTCTAGGGCATGAGACATGCATCTTGGTGGGACATGACTGGGGTGGATTGATAGGATGGAAGTTTGCAGCACAGTATCCTCAGATGGTTGAGAGATATATAGCAATGAACATACCCCATCCTGATAGATTCAGCGAGCTCTTAACATTTCACCTACCTCAGATCATCATGTCATGGTGAGCAACAGCTATATCTAGTATACCAAAAGGTCCATGGGCCGGACAGTGCACCAATTACAATAACAAAACAAATTGTGTACAATCTGCTTACAGAAATAATATTTGAGGGCATTGAGGCTAATAATTCGAATATACAGTGTGTCACAGAAGAAACAAAACCAGGTTTTATGGCAGATATTTTCTACCATATTGAATATTTTCCTTGATTATAAACGTGCATGAAAAGCTCTGCTTCTCTTCTTTCATTTGATGCACTACTTATTATTCATAATTCAGGCATGATTGAATTAAAACAAATGGGAAGTGGTGCTACCAACATTTTATTTGCTTGAACAAATTGCAACATTGTGTTCGACAGAATCATCAGTTCCATTGTTGCCAAATCTCTGACGTTGGACCCCTCAAATACCTGCAGTCACATCCCTGCATCTTATTGCTAGCAGAGCTAAAGGATTTAGCCCAGCACTCAAACTTGGCAACTGGAAAACTGTACATGGTATTTCAATATGGAGTATAACATGAACCAGGAGTTGCTCAACTTTGTACTACCGGTATCTTTTGACTTTGACATTGTTTCACAGGTACATATTTTTCTTCCAAATTCCTTGGTTTCCTGAGAGAGCAGTAAAGATGGGAGATTACAACATGATTGATGAGGAATGCAAGCATGGTGAAACAACAGATGAAGATATCCAGGCATTCAAATACTCTATATCGAAACCTGGTAAACAAAAACCCAAACTCTTATTACATGTGCATTACAGCTCTCTACACATAATCAGGTATAAAAGCTGGACAAGGCATTTTTTACCCTATTAACAGGAGAACCTGAATAAGTGGGAAAAGTTTCTATGAAATAATTAAGAGATGTTTGTTCTTATAATACCCCATTAACAGGAGATGCCCTTCATCTGTTACCCTACGATGTGGTGACTACTGTATTCTGATGTGGATCCATTCTAAGTGCTCGCTTTGGGGGTTATGAAAGGCATATAAACGATCCTGTTAGCTGGTACCTGCAACCCTATTCCAAATATATACACTTAACCGGAGACCAATTCCATGGTTATATTGGCAATTATTGTAATTACTGACTATCAGTGGTACGGGATGGGCCCTTGACAGTTCAACAAATGAGACTTCACATTCATATCCATCTATAATGTACATCTCTCAAGATTAAAAAAATATATATTCACATTTACATGTAAAGGTGTATACAATATTAGATATGAACCATCATAAACATACCGGTATACTTTCCTTTTATAAGAAATTCAAATATAAATCCAAAATAGAAAATATGCTTTCATACATTCGGGGGATAAAGAAACCCATTCAAACACCTTACATCATATTATGGCCAATAATTTTTATAAGGTTTTTGAATGACTTGAAATATCTAAAATTGTTGACAGGTCGTACACACACTTTCCTGAACTACTATCGTAATGAACTTACTCTACTCTTCAATAAGACCGGTGTGGTAAAGACACCGACTCTGCTCATCTGGGGGACAGCAGACAATTACCTCCACACCAAACTTTCTTACGACACAGAGAAATTCTGCCCCAGTCTGAAGGTAGAGCGTATAGAGGGCGGCAATCACTTCATCCAACAGGACAAGCCAGATCTAGTCAATCAGCTGATGAGAAAATATTTGGAGAGAGAAATTACTCTTAAAATATGAAGCTACTTTTAGAAGATGCAATGAAGTTCTATATGTTTATCAATAGTAAAGCTCCTTTTTGTGAAGGAAAAAATATAAAAACTGATAATGCTAAACATTCAATCCCGAATAAGTACATGTACATCACCATTAATGATTTTATTGACATCTCCCATAGATGTATGTGAATGAACCCTTTTTGACAACTATTCTGAGATGCTAGAAAAAACAAATTATATGCATTTGGCTGCGTTCATGCTTAAATTTTGAAGGCAGAATGAGCGATCTGAAACGCTCATCGTAAACGCTCATCGTGATCGCAGTTCCACGATGTAGTGTTCATGCTTACTTCTCCAGGCAATTCTCCTTTGGTGGCCTTCAGCTGGATTCGCAAACCTGTGTGCGTATGCTACGTAGACCCACTAGAGGTCAGTGCGTTGACCCCATTTAAACGCGTTTACAAATTGTAAACGCATCTTTTTGTGAGTTTACGATCGACGATCGTGATCGCCGTTTTTCGGTGATTCTACAAAAGTGAGCATGAACGCAAGCGTGTTTTAAACTAAACGCGTAACAGATGCCTGATTCTGGCCGTCAAAATCAAGCATGAACGCGCCCTTTTACTACCGAAATTCATCTTTAATACATTAGAATCACAAAACAGTCGACTCTCATGACCTTTAGATCAATTCATAACTTGACTGCACCATATTTACAATATTGCCTTCATTCAACTGGAAACCTAGCCCTCCCAAAACCAAAATCTGAATACTGTCAAAGAATGTTTAGTTACCAAGGAGCATGCTCTCTTAACAAGATTACACATCATATATATTCCACATCTGATATAGCTGCATTCTGTCAATTGTTAATGAATTAATTCCAAATTTTATTTAAAGCCAATAATATTTTTTCTTTTCTTTTATGATCTTTGCCTACTGTAGGGTGTTGCGTTTAGTGTGTAATTTTAGGGTGTTGCTTTAATATATTATAAGGGTATACTTAGGGTGTTACTTTTTGTACTCTAAATTGAATTGTAATATTTGTCTCTTTGTTTAATTATTAATTTGTATATAGCTAGTGACTTTCTTCTGGACCCCTCAGTCAGTGGCACAGCGCCACCATGTTGGTGGGTGCTGAGTAGGGCCAGCCACCCATCCAGCCGTCATTGTGTAATGTTTCTTTTATACTTCTTTTTATATAGAAATAAATTCAAATCAAATCAAATCATAATTTCTCTCAGTGTTTTCTTTCTAAAGCATGTATGCATCATTGTAACTGGAAGAAGAAAAAATCCTGTGTGAAATAAATATTTGTTTTCAAACAAACTGTCTTGTTTTCTGCAGTATGAATTGAGTTAAAGTATTGACAGTTCATTTTCTAATAAAGATATTCGTATCATTTCAAAGCCAATCAATTATTGGAATCCATGCATCATTATAACTGGAAAATGAAAATCCATTTTCAAACAAACTGTCTTGTCTTCTGCATTATGAATTGAGTAAAGGTCTCTATGTCTAAGAATGTCATTGACATAGATGATAAAATAACCCAATCATCATGAAAATTGACATTGACATTTATCATGTAAATCATCTACAGAAGTATGAAGATCATCATGATAGTTTCTGCAATGGGACTGAGTGAATGAATCCGTGTTTATTGCAAGATTACAATTTGCATGAATCATCACAAACAACTATAAAACTCAAAAAAGGATTATAAGGGGAAAAATACAGTTATAGTATATGTGATAAAAGGTCATCCAGGAATACATACTAAGTTACATGCGATTATTATGTCTTCTTTTGATTTTATCAGTTTCTTGGTACTTCCATGCATGAAGGTGACTTTGCAGTTTGTGGAATACATGTAGCTATATATTCAAAGCATGACCTTTAGTAAACAACATGTGTACACAATGCACATTGTCAGACCGCTCTTTATGAAATACATGTACACGTAGCTGTAACCACGTTGCTGTACCCACGTAGCTGCATGTTGCTGTATAAGTACAAGAAATCCTTTTCTAGCTCGATTTCATGAAGTACACTTTCCTTTGGAGGAGATATACATTCGAGGTATGTACTATTCTTCCATGATTTCATCATCATCAACCAGGCAAGCATCGAGAATTCAGTCTAAATCTTAAAGTTAATTGGCAGCATGTTTATTTCCAGCAAAAGGTATACAAAATTACTGCACAAAATTAGCAACTGTCGAGTCATTAGACTTTCAACGATGGTCACTTTTGTTCTTCCTATTTTGTATCTAATTGTATCTTAATTTACCCTTTAAATGCTTTGTATATTAATGTTCGCTCATTTTTTTAAACTGAAGAACAAATAAAGACTTTACTAAACTTTGTCGTTCTGAATGTACATATACCCCTAAATCTAATCGTCATTGCACTATTTCAATGAGTATAAGAGTTGTTTAAAGGTTCCCCATTCTTCCTTGTATAAAGTTGTATATGCAGAACACCTGGGAAGGAAGCATCCATATAAATTTGAATAGATTTATTTGATAAACGACTCCGCATATAGTACGTCATGCAATCAAGAAAATGGTGATGCCCATATCTTGCTAAGAAACTCTACTTTTGATTCTTGCTTTATGCCTTTAAATTCTCATACACTTTGGTGAGGAACCTTGTAGATTGATGAGCAAGAATGTAATACATCTATCAGAACAACTAAAGTTATTCTTTGGGGTAAGTTCTCCTTCAACACAATCTCTGGTTGTAAGAGCTTTTTGATTGTGTTGAAGAACGCCATTCATGTCAACAGCAGATGTTCACTCAGATAGTCATGACATCTATTCATATGCAAAACATATTTAGGGCAATGTGAATTACAAGCATTTATTTCCGGGCCTTCCCTCCTTGCTTGTTATACACATCTCTTGCAGAGTGAAGCCAGTGGTTAGATGATCTCCCATTCATGCCTGTTCTTTACTTGTCTTGCAGCATTGCCATGGGTCTCCTGTCTCTCCTCCGCCACACCATCATCAGGAACATCATCCTGTTTCCCATGTTCATTATGAGTGTGGGCATAGGAATGACATTTTTCCTTGGTGCTCTTATCTTCAAGGGACCATCATGGGTGTTCAAAAAAAAGCAAATGGACGTTCGACCAGACTGTCTCAGTGAGCCAAGTCTAGGTACACATACATTCATTGCTCTTAAGGTGAGAAAACTATTTGATTGTTTTAAAGCATATCTGCACTAGTTTGGCCAGGAGGGATTAGACCTCCCTGCATGGTCGCTGACAAGTGGTTATCTCATCAAAACAGCTCTCAATTAACATAGAAAAGGGGATCATGGGGGACCAACGGGTACCGCTTAGGCATTAATTGTTTGCTACATAGAGGGCAAAAGTATAGCTACAAGTAATGCAGTCCTGCTTTAAATGAACATTACACCTGAAAAGACCCAGAGTCATGTACCTGCCATGACGTAGATAGAGGTGTTATGGTATAGTGGTTCACACACTTTACTTGCATTCATAACGTTCAGCTAAATTTAAATCCCAGCCCAGCACTAATGTCCTTTAGCAAGACCTTAATCTAAATTTGCCACTCTCCAGCTAGGTGTAACTGGACAAGTTTTATATTTTCTGACTGGTGAAATACATGAACCAGCTGACAGCAAACACAATATCAGCACTATTTTAATTGCCAAGAAATAAATAATTTAAAGTTGGTTTCATATCTTTATAGTGCCCCTGGTTGTACTTATATTTTGTATAACAATTAAAAAATTCACTGCTGATTTCTTTTCTTAAAAGGCTAGAAAATGTTTTCTAAATGTCCCATACAGAATTGCCCAATTGCAGTACGTATGACTGACTGAAGAGATTTATGTTTTGTTTCTTTAAAGCAGAAAGAAATACTCGTCAAAAACAGGATGCTATGCTTTTGAATTTATCTTGAATAATACATCAAAATCCAATTGAGGTACACACAAAAGAATTGTTACTCACTTATTTGCCCCTCCCCCTATCCCCACCATTACAAAGAGATGTAAACCAGCCTGCTTTAACAAAGTGCTATCAAACTAAGAAAGGCATACCGGTAATTAACATTACAATAGCCTAACAGCATTCAAATTAGTGAATATGAAATAGCAACTTTGCAGTTCATATATTTCTAAATTACATGTGAAAATATTTTTTTTAAATACATTTTTGAAGTCTCGCATCCACGCGTTTAAACTGCCAACTATCATCTGTTCATTTCTACTTTTCAGGATTTGAAACTGCATGTGATAGAGTCAGGTGACCCTAAGAATCCTTTGATGTTATTCCTCCATGGCTTCCCTGAATGTTGGTATTCATGGAGACATCAGATCAGAGCATTCAACAAAGATTATCAGTGAGTATAACCACATTCTCTTCGGGACAAGTTAAGCTTTATTAATATTATGATGCAGACTCAAACATGTTATCTCATGTGTGGGTGTGTGTGGGGGAAGGGGTGTGGGGGTGGCGGATCCATGGGGGGGAGGTACCCTTGAGAAAAAAATCATGTAAAAACATGTGATTTTTACCTTTTTGGGGGGTTTGGGCGACTTGGCCCCCCCCCCCCCTGGTGCTCAAGGGTCCTCAAAAATTGTTAAAAATTTGCACCCCCTGGCGCTCAAGGGGGGGGGGGGGGGTTGCAAATTTTTAAATTTTCGAAGATCAAAAAACAAAAAAATGTGCTCACTACCCCCCCCCCCCCCCCCCCCCCCCCAACTGAGCGACTTATCGGCCGGCGCGATTTTCAAATTTTAGGGAGCAAAAAAAAAATTTAAAAATTAATATAGTGCTCAATCGACCTCCCCCCCCCCCCCCCCCCACTGAGCGACTTTTCGGCCGGCGCATTTATCAAATTTCCGGGAGCAAAAATTTGAAAAAAAAGTTGGACCCCCTCCCCTAAGAAATCCTGGATCCGTGCCTGTGGGGGTGTGTGGTTGTGTGGGGCTGGGGTGTCGGGGTGTGCACTTTTTATACTAATATCAGGGAGATAGGTTGGCTAATATTGATAGCTTTAATGGATGAAAAAAAATTAAGGAATTAAGCATATTACACATACAATCTGTGGATTTTAACATACTGTACAGCTACAGCCTATGAGACCAACAGCCTGAAAGACTGAAATGTCAGTCTCAAAAGATATCAGTTGATTGCTTTGACGGTTCACTTCCTTGTGTATATCTTTGTTTTGTCGATGTCGTGAGGTGTCGGTCTAATGGACCATCAATCTGGTAAACCTCTAAGAATTTTCATCTCTTC